CTAACATTTATCAAGAGGTTCAACAAAAAATCAGTTCAGCGCATAAAAGAAATGCTCGGTATTATAATTTGCGAAGGCGCGAAATGGAATTTTTTGTTGGTGACCATGTATGGAAGAAAAATTTCGTCCTGTCTAATAAGGCAGAAGACTTTGCTAAAAAGTTAGCACCGCGTTGGGTTGAGTGCATTGTAGTTAAAAAGAAATCTAAATTAGTCTATGTCCTCAAGAGTGCTGAGGATGGTAGTAATTTGGGAGAATGGCATATACAGGATTTGAAACCATGTCACGGATCCATGTCTGATTTTTCTTGCGGAAGTGAGGGTCCCGGATCAGTAGTATCAGATGAGTAGGTCTGTCTTGGTCTTGTTGCCTAAAAATTTGCACCATAGGTGGATTCGAAGTGCATATAATTGTAAATATTTTACTTGGTAGGTAGGTTCTAAGTTCATAGATCTTTAGGTCCTGTAAATATTAGAATAGGTATTAGCTGCTATAATTAGGTAGGTGCGCACCATTATATTTAATACCGGTATATATATTAAAAAAAGGGTTTCTCAGTGTTTCTCATAAAAATTGTGTACTATGTTCACAATTTTTATATTCTTTGGAGGGGGGTGAGTGTAACATGAAAATTGACTTTTTCATCTTACAGAATATATAAATAGTTTGAAAACTCAATAATAAATAAAGAACTTATCAACATGAAGATATCAACCTATCAATTTTGGTTTTCTCCTCATTTAAGTAATTAATCAATATCTTCACTATGATGTGTTCACATTGCTCACTCTGTATAATACCCTTTATTCAGTAAAATACACAATATCACTACAATCACTTGATTATCTTCAAGAAACATCTCAGTCTCTAGTCATCATGCAGTTTTGGATAGGCCATGTCTGGAAACTCCAATATTACCTAAAAGAAAGTAAAGTTTATTAATATAAAAAATAAAGAAAGTTGTTAGTACTTACCAGAAAGAAAGACTCCTAGAAGGTGGGTTTTTATTAGAGTTCGTCGATCAGTTCAGAATATCTGGAGACAGCTTGTTGTTCTGAAACAAATTTAAATAGTTATGGTAAATATAATCTAAAATCCTGAAATGTTGAAAAATACGATCAGGGAATACTTGGAGAAGGCTTACCTTGTTATTTATTGAGGAAAGGTAGATTTCGTGGAAAATTCGTCATTTTTCTAAGTATTTATTGTAGGTTATTTTGTTTTGGGCAAATCTGACACATAAGGGACAGGAACCGCATTTCTTCGTCGTCTTGTTTTAGTTGTTTTCTCTCCTGGACAAGCGGACAATTACCTTAAGCTGTGTTTTCGGTGATGTGTGTGATCTGGCGTCCTTGTTAGATGTTCGTGTACGAGAGAGATGACCCTATGCTGTTTTGATGGACACCATGCTTCAACAGTCTGAGAGTCTAGAGAGTTATCCACCAGTCGGAGAGTCTAGGTAGTTTCCAGCTGTTCGATTGCTATTGGCTGTAATTAGTTATTAATAATTATCTCCCGCACTAATTTTGAATTGACGGAAGTGTCACGTTGTTGGCAGCGATGCTGGTGGCAGTGAATTAACCAATCAGGTGCCGATTCAGCAGCATGTGATTGAACACATGATGATTTTTTTTGATGTGCAGAAACTCATTTCTGTATTCCTCAGCTTTGAAGGTTTTTTATGAAGGGAATGAAGATCAAGTAGGCGCAGAACGCTTCGTTTCCGGATTACTCCATCATTTCCAGAGATGATAGGCTTGCCTTTGGGTCGCTCTAGAAAAATGAGTGATTTGCAATTTTGGTTTCCTAGTGAGAAGGCCATCCTGAAAGGAGGTGAGTCTTTGGTTATTTAATTCCAACAGGGTTTTTTTAGTCGACATTTAGTTGTATTTGGTTGAAATATTAACCCCAAATCTATTGTCGTAGATTTGAGGGCCTTTCACGTGGTCTCTGAACTTCAACCACTAACCATACCGGCCATTTTGGGTTCTCTTGGGGCCGGACTTCATGGACTCCTACCGACATCTCAGCTGGCTTTCCTAAAGACGACTTCCACTAGAGCATCTTCCTGGATGCATGAGCATTTTATTCCCGGTCTCGTTCATGAATCTTCGGCGAATTCTACGTCCACGCTCGAGTTAGGAGTGCTGCATGCTCCTAGGGCTCTTCTAGGGCTTACCTTCCGCGGGTTCAACTACCTTTTGGACCAGATTCGGCGATCAAGGTGTTCAGGAAGATTGGGATTGGTAGCTCCAGGCATGGCTGATCTACATCAGTAGGGGAGCATCAGAACTCCTGTTAAGGGGGCCACTACCTCACACTTCACACCACCACTGAGACAAGTAAGATCTCTCCAATTTTACCCATGTGGGACATTTTTGGAATCAACCTCAATTTCAATATATAAAACCAGTGCTTTGAGTTAATTAATAAGATGCACCATATACTCCAACCCTTGGTATAATTATTTTGTTTTCTGATTATGTAAGAATGACCAAGTTGATATAAATTTCATGTGAGCTTCGGTATAGGCCTATAACGGGGAGCTAATACATTTAACAGTATATTATCATATTAACAATTTTGTTTGCTCCATTTGGTGAGGTTCAAGTCACCCTACTGTGAAAAATGAAAAATGGTGTATTTTGCTGATCACAATATTAATTCTTATTAAACAAAACCTGAGACCACAAGTGTGCTTTTATTATTTCTGATTCTAATTTTCTTTCAGGATAAAATTAAATTTCTATGACATGTTTTGTTTTAACATCCAGATATAACTTTTCTTAGTTTTTCACTTGAAAAAACAAACTAAGTGGCGCCTAACTAGCCACCTAACAAAGTCAAAACTCTAGGCCTTTGCTCACCAGACCCAAGAGTTGCCGGAGCCAGTTATGAGACTTGCTTTACTTATTTTTATTTATGAAAATAAATAAAAAGTAGTGAAGTTCGTATCAAGATAGTTATCTTCCAATTGAAAATAATGGCGCTTCTACACTTTCGTAGGGTACCGATTTGTACTGGATGTAATATTTTGATTGACCCATTCAAAAAATTGAGGTTATGAGCTTTATGACCTAATCGTCCTATATTTTTTTATTTGAAAGGAAATCGCGTCTTCGACAAGAATTCAAGCTACCATGACTTTAGGTGTTGACACATTTTCAGACCAATCAGAGCGATTCTAGCTATCAGATTGCGTCAATTCGAATTTCTGTGATACAACTTCTGTGATATCAACAAAATCTAAGGATTTGAATATGGTACCAAAAAACATAATTATTGAGGTTTATGCCTGTGATTGACTATGGATTTCACGACTTCTGATCTCTGGAAAATGAAAAAAGATATTCGAAATTTGGGAAAAAGGGACTGGAATGAGATGTTTTTCTTACCAGAAAATGTTTTTCTCGCTTGATTTTATCATTCGATATACTGGGTATGTGAAAACATTTGTTTTGTATGGAACCCCTTGTATTTTATCGCATATTTCAAAAGAGCTATTCTCTTTCAGCTCACTTTCACATACCCTGTATATAAAATGATGTAATCAAGCGGAAAAAACATTTTCTGCACGGAAACAACATCTTATACAAGTTCTTTTTTCCAAATTTCGTTTTCATTTTCGAGATGCCAGCTTTCAAAGTCTCGAAATCTAGGTGAAATCCAAACTCATTCACCACGGAAATTCTTTGATACAAAGATTCGAAATGACCGCCATAGCAAGAATCGTTTTGATTGATCTAAAAATGCCTCCTCACCGAAGTCATGGCTGTTTGAATCCTGAAAAGAATACACGAACGTCTCGAGACAAGACTATCAAAAAGATGTTAGCTTTACAGCTCCATGAACTTGTCGGGACAGGGCTGTGGAAAAGTGTTGGCTTCACCGTTTTATGATCGCCTCTGGACAGGACTAAAAAAAAGTGTTGGCTTCACCACAGTATACACCCTAGGTGGCTTGCGAGAATTGACAAGCCCCGGGGTTTATCGCGGGAGAGAGAAGGACATATAATGCCCTCTCACTCGCGAGAATGCATTTGGCACATAGCCGAAGCACAGTACTTCATCATACTTCGTCTCTTAAGCAACTGGTTGGCTCAGTAGGCAGAGCATCGGCATGCCAAGCCGGCGGGCCGGGGTTCGAATCCGTGCGAGGCTCATCTTTTTTTTATTTTTTTCTTGTTCTCAAGTGATTTCTAAAAAATATTCTCTATGGGAAATAGGTTCATTTAGGGGTTTTCTATGTTTGTGGTTTAGGCCAGAGGTGAGGTTCGGTTAGGTTAGGTTAGGTTAGAATAGAATAGAATATTTTATTTGGTGTTAATAAACATTAAGTTTTACACAGGTCAACGAAACAAGTACAGATATACTCATAAAATAGATAGGTTAGGTTTTCTCATTTTTTATGCAGAAACAATATTTTCCTTCCTCAAGAAAAATTCTCCTTCTTCAAGAAAAAAGGTTCATCTGAGCGAGAGCGAGTTATACGTCCTTCTCTTTCCCGCGATGAACCCCGGGGCTGGTCAATTCTCGCAGGTGGCTTCACTGTTTTATGAATGCATCTGGGCAGGACTGAAGAAAAGTGTTGACTTCGGCGTTTTATGACTGCCTCTGAGCAGTACTGTAGAAAAGTGTTGGCTTCAGCGTTTCATGAACGTCAAGGGGCAGGACCAATGACGGCTAGATATCTAGCCGTCATTGGCAGGACTGTAGAAAGGTGCTGGCTTCCACCGTTCCATGACGTTGTTCCGTCCGTTCCCTCGAATATTTTTGCGTTTCATGTTTCGTGTCAATGCAACGTACGAAATTCAAATGTTTTTTACAATGATGGCGTGTCTTGAGGAAATTTTGTGTTGAATTTTTTTTCACATGCGATTTGAATTAAATCTCGACTGTGTACAATGTTTGCAGCACAATTGACACCGTTGATCGATTTTGTAGGTACCATTTATGTTTTTTGTCCCGTTTTCGAGTGAAGGAAATTGGTTTTTTTGTTAGGCAAAATCGATAACAGAGTCAGGTTGGAGCTTCTCAAAGAGGAAGAGAAGAAAATCAAGGAGGAACGCGAGGAGCATCGTGAAGAAAAGAAGAAATTGGAAAAGGACAAGGAAGTGCTCAAAGACAAGGAAATTTTGGAAGACAAGGCGCCGATTATATCTGCCGGCGCTACTCCTTTGATAGAAGACGCGGCGGTGAAATTGGAAAAAGTCGACAAGAAAGAAGAACCATTGCAATCCAAGGACTTTGAGATCATTGAACATGCCATTGATACTGTGTCCAAGGAAAAGAAGTTGATTGTTGAGAAGGAAGAGATCCAGGAACTCAAAGCAGAGATGGCTGACTACAAGGTACTTTTCATGTATAGCAAAACATTTTTCTGACATACATTACTAATTGGAAATTATTCAACTTTAGGATCCTGAGCTCATAATATGATGATTTAACCCAAATCACCTAGATTCAATGTGTCTCCTGCCTGAGTTACAGGGTGTTTTATTTTCCGAAAATTTAATAATTAGTTATTGTGCCTAGTACTTTGAAACTAATTGACGTATCATTTTCATATTTTGCGGGAAGTGTATTTACTATACAGGGTGGCCCACGGTCGATGGTACCTTAGACGTATACGGAAAACGGTACATTGAATTATCCTGAAAATTTGGTTACACTAATAAGCGTTTGTGATCTAACGATTCAAAATATTTTCAGCGAAGCAGCGTTGCCACTTTTACCTAAAAGTAGCATCATCTTTGTTATTTCAAATGGAACACCCTGTATTTTATTGCGTTTTCAGATTCTTCTCGAAGAGCTGATCTCACCAATGTATCACACTTGGGGTCTAGCAGGAATTATTACAGAGATATGGGGTGTTCAAAATCGAGATTTTTCAACTTTAGGATTTTTTTGCGTCGAAACTATTCATCATTGGTCAAAACGGCTTACATGTCTCTATATTAACGTTTGATTAACTATCTACCGACATTTAATTGGAAAAAATACAGGATGGTCAAAGATTCAAAATTTTGATCATCCTGTATCTGTTCCAATTAAATGTCAGTAGATAGTGAATCAAAAGTTAAGATAGGGACATGTAAGCCGTTTTGATCGATATTGAATAGTTTCGACACAAAAAATTCCTGAAATTGAAAAATCTCGATTTTGAACACCCTATATCTCTGTAATAATTCCTACAAGGCCCCAAGTGTGATACATTGATGAAATCAGCTCTTTGAGAAGAATCTAAAAACGCAATAAAATACAGGATGTTCCTATTTGAAATAACAAAGATGATGCTACTTTTTGGTAAAAGTGGCAACGCTGCATCGCTGAAAATATTTTGAATCGTTAGATCGCAAACGCTTATTAGAGTAACCAAATTTTCAGGATAATCCAATGTACCGTTTTCCGTATACGTCTAAGGTACCATCGACCGTGGGCCACCCTGTATACCCACCAAATGATGTAAAATAAACGTTTCTGGCTACTACCAGAGCCGTATGTGTTAATGAAACAACAGCTGAGCATAAACTAGTTTATTTTACCTCAATATCGACAGCAATACAAAAACGATGTAAACATAAAAAGTGAAGTTGATGAAATAGAATTCATATACTGGGTACTCTGCTACATCTTCCCCTTTTATTCAGAAAATCACTTTGACGTAATATCCTATATTATAACTCTAAAATTACCTTTGCTAAAGTTTCACCTACTTTTTTGAATAATCAGTTGGGTTATATCTCTGTACAGGTTTGATAATTCTTCCTCTACTACTTTGATTTTCTACAAAAATAACATCATTGTCACTTGGTTCATCATTCAATATATTTGGTAGAGATGAGCCGTTTTGTTGTGCAATATCTTCAGGAATTACAGCCAGAAACCGTCTATTTCTCTCGATTACAGATCCATTATCCATCTTTACTTTATACGACCTATGCCTAACCTTGTCAACAACTACCCCTGGATGCCACTCAGAATTAGTACCCTGTACCATAATTTTTTGTTCTCTTTCTAGTTCCGTAAGTTCTCTCTGACTGCCTTTATTATAATAGTCTGTTTGTTTATTTTGCCGTTTTTTCAATTCCTCTTTTGTCTGTTCTACACTTTGCAAATCTGGTTTCAACATACTGTCCCTCATAGGAATGATACCTCTCAGTCTTCTTGACATCAGGAGTTGTGCCGGTGTACCTATTTCATTTGAAATAGGAGTGTTTCGATATTGCAACAATGCCAAATACATATCTTTTTTATCATCTCTACATTTTTTGAGTATTTTTTTGAGTGTCTGAACTGCACGTTCCACCATACCATTACTTTGAGGGTACAGGGGAGAAGATGTTAGGTGAATAAATTCCCATGTTTCAGCGAATGATTTGAATAATCCAGAGGAAAACTGCGGGCCATTATCTGAATACAAAATTTTTGGTATACCATGACGTGCGAAAATTGACTTTAGATGCATAATCACATTAACGGCGGTTGTATTAGTGTTCAAACAGATCAACTCGACATATTTTGAATAATAATCTATAACGATCAGATATTGTTTCTTATCTAATTCAAAAAAGTCACAGCCTAATTTTTCCCAAGGTCTAGAAGGTATTTCATGTGGACACAACGGCTCTTTCATTTGAGAATTCTTATATTTCATACATGTAGAGCAGTTACTGATAAAGGTGTTGATATCTCTGTTCATTGTCGGCCAATATACACATTCATTAGCATAACTTTTAGTTTTATCCCGGCCCTGGTGGCTATAGTGTATTTTTTGCAAAGTTGCATTAATTAACTTTTTAGGAATGACGATTCTGTTTCCGACGTATAACATTTCGTTGTACTCAAGTAGACTATTTCTATTTTTATAAAAACATTCGATGTACTCATTTTCTTTTTTTATATTTTTGGGCCAACCATTTTTCAAAAATTGTTTTATTTTAATCAGATCATGATCATCACTTGTTTCATTCTGGATTTTTTTCAAAAATTCTGATTCAAAATTATTTTGTTGCTGTAACATACAAACTTGAGCATCAATCTCAGAACTAATAGTGTCATTTTCCTCTGCATTATTCAAAAATGCCCTCGACAGGGTATCTGCTATATATAAATTTTTTCCAGGGGTATGGTATATATTTATTTCGTATTTCTGTAATTTAATCAACATCCGTTGAAGTCTCATTGGACAATCAACTAGATTTTTATTGAATATGGATACTAGTGGTTTATGATCTGTTTGTATATTGAACTTCTGGCCATACACAAATTGGTGAAACTTCTCACAACCAAATGTTATACCAAGCATTTCTTTTTCAATTACAGCGTATCTCTTTTCTGCATCTGTTAATGCACGAGAAGCATATGCACATGGAAAATTATCTTGTAACAATACAGCTGCAATTCCATCTTTAGATGCATCAACTGATATGGTGGATGTTTTGCTGACGTCGAAATATCGCAACACTGTATTTTCACATATTAATTTTTTTATTTTCTCAAATGCGATTTCCAAATTTTTATCCCAAACGAAAGCATTCTGACTTTTCAAAAGCAACCTTAATGGTGCTGTATGAGATGACAAATCTGGTATAAATTTACCTAGATAATTAATGAAACCAAGAAATCGTTCAATACCTTTTTTATTTTTAGGGCTTGGCATTGATTTAACTGCTCTGACCTTCGAGATGTCTGGTTTGAGTCCCTCTCTGGTTATTAGGTGACCTAAATATTTAACTTCCGACTCACAAATTCTACATTTTTGTTTATTAAATTTTATATTTTCTTTCCTCGCAATATCTAACACTTTTTTAAGTCTCATGTCGTGTTCTTCCTTTGTTTTCCCACTAATTAATATGTCATCAATGAATGTGTGAACCCCTTCTATATTGAAAATATCCCTAAACCTTTTGTGAAAAATTTCCGGGGCGGATGAAATGCCATATGGAAGTCTCAAAAAACGATAACGCCCAAATGGTGTGTTGAAGGTACACAACTTAGAACTTTCGTTGTCTAATTTAATTTGCCAAAATCCGTTGTTTGCATCGAGAGTAGTGAAATACTTGGCCCCCGCCAGCCTGTGAGAAATCTCATCAATTGTAGGCAAAGGAAAATACTCTCGTTTGATAACTTTATTTAAATCTTTAGGATCCATGCAGATGCGAATATCACCATTTGGTTTTCTAACAAGTACCAGTGAATTGACCCACTCTGTAGGTTCTTCTACTTTTTCTATGATTTCACTCTTTTCCAACACTTCTAATCTTTCTTTCAGTTTATTATATAGTGGCAAGGGTACTTTTCTAGGGGCATGAACAACAGGGTTCACATTTGGATTTATTTCTATTTTATAAGGTTGGCTCAAACATCCTGTACCATTAAAAACATCTATATAGTCTTTTGTTAAATCGTTACTATCTACATTATCGACTCTTTGTATCAAATTGAACATCTTTATGGAGTCTAAACCTAGCAATGAAGGAGAATCCTTGTCTACTACGAAAAAGTACAATTCCCTAGTTTGGTTCCTGAATGTACATCTCAACTTGATTTTACCTAATGTTGGGACTATTTCTTTTGTTATTGTGCTCAATTTGACAGGGGTTTCTTCCATGAAGTCGCAAGTAATATTATTATTTATGAGGGTGCTTCTAGATATTATATTGACCATTGCCCCTGTATCTAATTTGAAATTGATACTACAGTTATCATTTACAATAATATTTACCATCCATTCTTGCTCGCCTGCTGATTGAACACAACCAACAAAATAATAATCACTTGTTTCATCAGCCTCATCGAACTTTTCTTGGTTTACTATTTCACTGTGGGTCACACAATGCACATTTCTTTGTTTCAAACACATTTTTGAGTAATGTCCTCGCACATTACACAGATTACACAAAACTCGGAATGCTGGACAATTGAATTTCTCATGACTTGCACCACATCTTCTGCAACTTTGCTCCCGACGCTGGAAATTTTGACGTTGGGGTTGGTTATTTGGGGAGTTTGGAACACTGGATCTACCTGCTTGTTGATCAAATCTCTTGTTTGTTCTGGTATACCTTGATTGCACCCAATGCAGAGCGGATGTTGATTCTGTTGAAATTTCTTCTCTTTGTTGCTGAGAATTTTCGATTGTTTTGGCTTTATTTATAGCTTCCTGTAATGTCTTACAGTCACCTTCCAATAAGCGTTGTCCTATATGCTTTTTCACCAAACCACAAATGAAAATGCTTTTCACTATATCATCCCTCAAGTCACCTAACTCGCAGGACAAAGCTTTATTTCGCAGGTCTGTAACGTAGTTATCAATGGTTTCCCCTTCGAGCTGCCTCCTCGTGAAGAATTTGTGTCGTTCAAAATCCAGATTTTTGAATGGGATGAAGTGATTTTCAAATTTATTTAGCAGGTGGTCTAGTTTCCCTTCTTCATCTGCGGTGAAAGTGAAGGTTGTGTATATACGATATGCTTCGTCTCCTATATAATGAAGGAGTTGTGCGCATTTTGTTGCATCATCCTTTTTGGTATACTCCATTGCTTGAAGGTAATTTGTGAACCTTTTCTTCCAAAACTTCCAGTTTTCCTCCATGTTTCCTTCCAAACTCAAAGGTGGAACACCGTTATTTCCAGACATTTTGATAACAATTACAATATTACTTATTTGATTAATACTTTTTCAACATTTCTCATTCTTTCATTTGCGTTTTAACCGACTGCGCCATGTTAATGAAACAACAGCTGAGCATAAACTAGTTTATTTTACCTCAATATCGACAGCAATACAAAAACGATGTAAACATAAAAAGTGAAGTTGATGAAATAGAATTCATATACTGGGTACTCTGCTACAGTATGATAGGGGCAAGTGACGGGTTGACCCTTCCCGAATTCTACGCCACTGGCGAAATTGCCATTTCATCACAAATTTTCGATTATCCAATCATACTCTTTCTTCTTAGCAAAAAATTCATTATTTTTCAAGATATTTCAAGTTGAACATGGAGCTGCACAATTATTTGATTTTAATGTGTATTTTATGTGGATATTTTGGATCAATGGATTGCATTTATTAATCAAGTGAAACTTCAATCCATATTAGCAAAAAAACATGATAACATAACAGACAGGAGCTGTTACAGGGTGTTTTAACATTTGGAATGTAATAAATGATGAAACACCCTGTAACAGCTTCTGTCTGCTTTTTTTCATGCTTTTTTTTACATTTTTTTAATAAATGCAATCCATTGATCCTAATTATCAACATGAAATACACATCGAAATCTAAATAATGGTGCAGCTCCATGTTTAACTTGAAATATCTTGAAAACTGATGACTTTATCGCTATGAAGAAAGAGTATAATTGTTTGTTTGTTTGTATTGAATAGGCTCCGAAACCAGGAGAAGGTTATAAGATACTTTCAAGATGGCTGATCTAATATGTCGGACGAGTTTTGTAATAATTATGGTCCGATTCTATTCCAAATTGGTATCTGGGGGTTTTCGGGGTCGGAGATTATGATTCTTTCGTCAGAATTCGAAAGTTCGGGCGAAATTTGGAAATTCAAGATGGCGGAACCAATATGGCGGACGAGTTTTGTAATTATAATCCGATTCTGTCCAAAATTGGTACTTGGGGGTTTTCGTGATCGGGGATTATGATTCCTTCGTCAAAATTAAGAAATTCAAGATGGCGGATCCAAAATGGCGAATTTTGTCATTAGCATCGGATTTTATTCAAATTTGGTATCTGGTGGTTCTCGGGGTCGGAGATTATGATTCTTTCGTCGAAATTAGGAAATTCAAGTTGGCGGACCCAATATGGCGGACGAGTATTGAAAAATTATGATCCGACTTTCTTCAGAAATTGTTATCTGGGTGTTTTCGGAGTCGTAGATTATGATTCTTTTGTCAGAATTCGAAAATTCGGGTGAAATTTGGAAATTCAAGATGGCGGAACCAATATGGCGGACGAGTTTTGTAATTATATTCCGATTCTGTCCAAAATTGGTACTTAGGGGTTTTTGTAATCAGGGATTATGATTCCTTCGTCAAAATTAAGAAATTCAAGATGGCGGATCCAAAATGGCGGATTTTGTAATTAGCATCCGATTTTATTCAAATTTGGTATCTGGTGGTTCTCGGAGGTCGGAGATTATGATTCTTTCGTCAAAATTAGGGAATTCAAGATGGCGGACCCAATATGGCGGACGAGTATTGTAATTATGATCCGACTTTCTTCAAAATTGTTATCTGGGTGTTCTCGGAGTCGGAGATTATGATTCTTTTGTCAAAATTAGGGAAGGGCGGGATTTGGAAATTCAAGACGGTGGAACCAATATACCGGACGAGTTTTCTAATTATATACCTATTCTATTCAAAATTTGTAAGTGGACGTTTTTGGGGTCAAAAATTACAATTCCTTCGTCAAAATTAGGAAATTCAAAATGGTAGATCCAATATTGCGGACGAGTTTTGTGATTATGTTCCGATTCTATTCAAAATTTCCTTCTGGAGTTTTAGGAGTCGGATATTATGATTCTTTCGTCAAAATTGGGAAATTCAAGTGAACTAAAAAGAATATGAAATAAATGGTAGTTTGAAAAACTAAAGAAACACGCTTTTATCGATAGCAAAACTAAAATGAAGTAGAAAATTAAATGATAATAGTGTCTTGATGAATATTGAACTGAAAAAATATAATATAGATATAATATATATAGCAAAACAACATTTGCCAGGTCTGCTAGTTTTTCATAATTTGGTAGGGTGTATCTAATCTTCCCGCGAAAAATGGCAATGACTGGAAGATCAGCTTCAAAGCACTAGGCACAAATAATTTTTAAATTTTCAAATAAAACACCCTGTAACTCAGACAGGTGACACATTTTATATAGGTGATTTGGGTTGAATCTTCATGAGCTCAGGACTATATAGTTGACATATTTTCAATTAGTATTTTCTCATTTTTTCAGGAAGATGTTGAAGATTTAGCTAAAATCTTAGCTACCCAACAAAAACCGGAAATCAAGGAAAGCAAAGCGGCCAAACGTCTGTTCAAGAGCGTCAATAAATTGATCGGCAAATTGGACACAGTGATGACGGATCTGGAGAAGAAAGAGAAGCAGCTGAAGAAGGACCTGGAAACGGAAACAGAAACAGGTAAGCAATATATATACTTTTCTGCAACCGACACAAAAGTCGTCCATTTTAATACCAAAATTAGCTCTTGAATTGACGTTTCTATTACTGACACAAACATTGGTATGTTGATAGGCAACAAATTTAGTTCCTAGGAGCTGAAGTTGAATTTTAGCTCCTAAGAGCTAAAGTTGAACTTTAGATCCTGAGAGCTAAAGTTGAACTTTAGATCCTTAGAGCTAAAGTTGAACTTTAGCTCCTAAGAGCTAAAGGTGAACTTTAACTCCTAGGAACTAAAAAGGGTGTACTAGAGGTCATCAAGCATAAACAACATTGTTATGGTTTGTTATTTGGGTTCAGACGCATACCTGATTTATTTCACATACTTGCTTGATCTATATTTCATTCGTTATTCTCGGGATGGATACTTGTTTTTATATAATCACGGCCAGCAATAGTTTTTTGTCTCAAACAACGATATTGTTTACCTCCATTTGATTATCCAGCCAAACACAGTGGAGTATGGGGAAAATTTGCTCCGAAAATTGAAATTATCTTTTGCAAAATTTGTGTAGGCGTAGATCATTTGATACTTCTTGCTGAAACCAGAAAAAAGTGAATCAGTTGAAAACTGTGGTTTTTATAAGAATGCTCTAGTCTATTTTAATTAGGAACAACAATATTAGGTTAGAGAAACTACTGTTTTATTGTGAATTTTGTAGAAATCTCATCTATTGAATACAAAATCTATCAATAATAATTAATAAGATTGGAGAAAGTTTCGATGATTTAGGCTTATTTTCGTGGATTTTCCAGAAAAGAAGAAGGAGGAACTGTTGAAGATCGATGACATAATTGCCGCGATCAACAAAATCAAAGATGTGCCCGATCAGAAGAGATTAGAACAGATAACGAACGTTTTGAAAAAGATGGACGACGATCATGACGGCTCTTTGAAAATCGAAGATGTCTTGAAGGTGAGTCTTCTTTATTTTTCCCAAATCTATACACATGTGTGTCTTGAAACACAAATTTAATTTTACGTTGATCTAGAATCTCGATGGATAACCAAAAATGGGCGAAAATTCATCAATAGTGAAAAATACTAACTTTTTCATCCTGAACTACTAAGACAAAAATATGTATAGATTCGGAATCCTTGTGAAATTTTACGTCGATTTATATCAACCCACAATTCGCATTTTTGAAATTTCGCGGTAAAAATTACCAACTTTTTATCCTTCACTTCCAAGACACAAATGGGTATTGATTCGGAATCCTCGTGAAATTTTACGTTGATCTAAATCAACCCACAATTCGCATATTTTGAAATTTCGCGGTAAAAATTACCAACTTTTTATCCTTCACTTCTAAGACACAAATGTGTATAGATTCCGAATCCTTGTGAAATTTTACGTCGATCTATATCAACCCACAATTCGCATTTTTGAAATTTTGCGGTAAAAATTACCTACTTTTTATCCTTCACTTCCAAGACACAAATGGGTATTGATTCGGAATCCTCGTGAAATTTTACGTTGATCTAGATAGGTTTCAAGCGGAAATTTTGCAATTTTGAAAGATAACGGCAAAAATTACCAACTTTTTTATCCTTTACTTCTAAGACACAAATGTGTATTGATTCGGAATCCTCGTAAAATTTCACGTCGATCTATATCAACCTACAATTCGCATTTTTGAAATTTCGCGGTGAAAATTACCAACTTTTTATCCTTCACTTCTAAGACACAAATGTGTATAGATTCGGAATCCTTGTGAAATTTTACGTCGATCTATATCAACCCACAATTCGCATTTTCGAAATTTCGCGGTAAAAATTACCAACTTTTTATCCTTCACTTCCAAGACACAAATGGGTATTGATTCGGAATCCTCGTGAAATTTTACGTTGATCTAGATAGGTTTCAAGCGGAAATTTTGCAATTTTGAAAGATAACGGCAAAAATTACCAACTTTTTTATCCTTTACTTCTAAGACACAAATGTGTATTGATTCGGAATCCTCGTAAAATTTCACGTCGATCTATATCAACCTACAATTCGCATTTTTGAAATTTCGCGGTGAAAATTACCAACTTTTCATCCTTCTCTTCTAAGACACAAATGTGTATTGATTCGGAATCCTCGTAAAATTTCACGTCGATCTATATCAACCTACAATTCGCATTTTTGAAATTTCGCGGTGAAAATTACCAACTTTTTATCCTTCACTTCTAAGACACAAATGTGTATAGATTCGGAATCCTTGTGAAATTTTACGTCGATCTATATCAACCCACAATTCGCATTTTCGAAATTTCGCGGTAAAAATTACCAACTTTTTATCCTTCACTTCCAAGACACAAATGGGTATTGATTCGGAATCCTCGTGAAATTTTACGTTGATCTAGATAGGTTTCAAGCGGAAATTTTGCAATTTTGAAAGATAACGGCAAAAATTACCAACTTTTTTATCCTTTACTTCTAAGACACAAATGTGTATTGATTCGGAATCCTTGTGGAATTTCACGTCGATCTATATCAACCTACAATTCGCATTTTTGAAATTTCGCGGTGAAAATTACCAACTTTTCATCCTTCTCTTCTAAGACACAAATGTGTATTGATTAGGAATCCTCGTAAAATTTCACGTCGATCTATATCAACCTACAATTCGCATTTTTGAAATTTCGCGGTGAAAATTACCAACTTTTTATCCTTCACTTCTAAGACACAAATGTGTATAGATTCGGAATCCTTGTGAAATTTTACGTCGATCTATATCAACCCACAATTCGCATTTTCGAAATTTCGCGGTAAAAATTACCAACTTTTTATCCTTCACTTCTAAGACACAAATGTGTATAGATTCGGAATCCTTGTGAAATTTTACGTCGATCTATATCAACCCACAATTCGCATTTTCGAAATTTCGCGGTGAAAATTACCAACTTTTCATCCTTCTCTTCTAAGACACAAATGTGTATTGATTCGGAATCCTCGTAAAATTTCACGTCGATCTATATCAACCTACAATTCGCATTTTTGAAATTTCGCGGTGAAAATTACCAACTTTTTATCCTTCACTTCTAAGACACAAATGTGTATAGATTCGGAATCCTTGTGAAATTTTACGTCGATCTATATCAACCCACAATTCGCATTTTCGAAATTTCGCGGTAAAAATTACCAACTTTTTATCCTTCACTTCTAAGACACAAATGTGTATAGATTCGGAATCCTTGTGAAATTTTACGTCGATCTATATCAACCCACAATTCGCATTTTTGAAATTTCGCGGTGAAAATTACCAACTTTTCATCCTTCTCTTCTAAGACACAAATGTGTATTGATTCGGAATCCTCGTAAAATTTCACGTCGATCTATATCAACCTACAATTCGCATTTTTGAAATTTCGCGGTGAAAATTACCAACTTTTTATCCTTCACTTCTAAGACACAAATGTGTATAGATTCGGAATCCTTGTGAAATTTTACGTCGATCTATATCAACCCACAATTCGCATTTTCGAAATTTCGCGGTAAAAATTACCAACTTTTTATCCTTCACTTCCAAGACACAAATGGGTATTGATTCGGAATCCTCGTGAAATTTTACGTTGATCTAGATAGGTTTCAAGCGGAAATTTTGCAATTTTGAAAGATAACGGCAAAAATTACCAACTTTTTTATCCTTTACTTCTAAGACACAAATGTGTATTGATTCGGAATCCTTGTGGAATTTCACGTCGATCTATATCAACCTACAATTCGCATTTTTGAAATTTCGCGGTGAAAATTACCAACTTTTCATCCTTCTCTTCTAAGACACAAATGTGTATTGATTCGGAATCCTCGTAAAATTTCACGTCGATCTATATCAACCTACAATTCGCATTTTTGAAATTTCGCGGTGAAAATTACCAACTTTTTATCCTTCACTTCTAAGACACAAATGTGTATAGATTCGGAATCCTTGTGAAATTTTACGTCGATCTATATCAACCCACAATTCGCATTTTCGAAATTTCGCGGTAAAAATTACCAACTTTTTTTCCTCCATTTCTAAGACACAAATGTATATTGATTCGGAATCCTTGTGGAATTTCACGTCGATCTATATCAACCCACAATTCGCATTTTTGAAATTACGCGGTAAAAATCATCAACTTTTTATCCTTCACTTCTAAGACACAAATGTGTATTGATTCGGAATCCTTGTGGAATTTTACGTCGATCTATATCAACCCACAATTCGCATTTTTGAAATTTCGCGGTAAAAATTACCAACTTTTTATCCTTCACTTCTAAGACACAAATGTGTATAGATTCGGAATCCTTGTGAGATTTTACGTCGATCTATATCAACCCACAATTCGCATTTTCGAAATTTCGCGGTAAAAATTACCAACTTTTTTTCCTCCATTTCTAAGACACAAATGTATATTGATTCGGAATCCTTGTGGAATTTCACGTCGATCTATATCAACCCACAATTCGCATTTTTGAAATTACGCGGTAAAAATTACCAACTTTTTATCCTTCACTTCTAAGACACAAATGTGTATTGATTCGGAATCCTCGTGAAATTTTACGTCGATCTATATCAACCCACAATTCGCATTTTTGAAATTTCGCGGTAAAAATTACCAACTTTTTTATCCTTCACTTCTAAGACACAAATGTGTATTGATTCGGAATCCTCGTGAAATTTCACGTTGATCTGGATAGGTTTCAATTCGGAATCCTTCACCTTTTTCATTTCAACAATCCATTGCCATCAAGTCAATACAAAAACGAATAAAAATCCTTGAAAAATCATCGACTCCTCATTGGACTCTCTCTCACACACACACACTCAGGTGATCGAGATCATCGGCAAAGAAAACGTCAAACTGAGCGCCAAACAAATCGACGAACTCATCGATCTGCTCGACAAAGAGGAAATCCTCGAGGTCGAAGACAAAATCGAGAAGGCCCTGCAAAAAGACAAGGAAGCCAAAGACGCGCAACAGGCGGCCGACCAGGCGAAGGTCGAAGAGGGCGACAAGGCCGATGCCGAAACGTCGAAGAAATCCGGTGAGAATTCAAAGAAAACTTCGTCCTCGTCTGTCAATAATTCGTCGGTTCCCAAATCGAAAATGGACGCGCAGGCCGTTATCGCACCACCTCCGCCTAGTAGTATCGATAAAAAGAGTGGTAAAGATAACGCGAAAATGCTTTAGCGTAACGCGAATTCGAATGATTTTCCCTAATTTAAAATGAAGTTGTAAGTAAATCTTTCTTTATACATAGATATATATTTTGTTTAGCTGTGAAACAAGTGATTCGATAAGTACTAATATGGATGAATTTTTATTTGTTTGGTTTGTTATTTTTTTTTATATACAAGGTGATTTTAATCGCGTACCTCGAATTGAAGGGCTCATAAACAAAGCCGAATTATGAAGAAATTTCAAGTAGGTACTTTTTTTTTCTGTGACGGGAAAAAAGTTTGACTTTTCATCTCTGTTGACAGGTAACAATATATCACTTTTTAGGAAAATAGAATTTTTTCTACTAGCCTGCTGGAAAGTCCACCTTTTGGCACTCATTTAAGTGTTGAAAGAGTCAGTTTTCCGCACTAGTGGGAAAAAAACATATTTCCGCACATAGTGCGGAAATGTAAACTTGTAAAATTGTTGGCGAGTATACTGACATATGTAAATTTAATAATATAAATTAATAAATGTTCCTTGATTTCAACTTTTGGGTTTTTTCTGCACGCTAGTAGAAAAAATAGTGTACCTGAAGAATTACTTTTCCGCATGCGATTGCAGATGGCCGAACGACGCCATTACATAGCTAGTGTGGAAAAAAAACTCATGATGTTCGTTGATGCGGTGACTGCACGATCTACCTGTCTGCCCAATATATGACGAGCTTACACTATCTCTATATCGAGAATCAGTCGGGAGAAATCCATGAAAATATGCATACGTATATTTTGGAATACGCTCTCTTCATTTAAAATATTTTCAGTAATGCAGTGTTGCCGCTTCTACCAAAAAGTAGCAACAACTTTGTTATTTCAAATAGGATACCCTGTTTTTTATTGCACTTTTAGATTCTCCCTGGAAAGCTGATTTCATCGATACATCACACTAAAAGATTACAGAGATATAGGGTGTTCAAAATCGAGATTTTTCAACATTAGGATTTGTTTGTGTCGAAACTATTTATTATCGGTCAAAACGGCTCACATAATTGTCCCTATCTCAACTTTTGATTTACCTCTTACTGATATTTAATCGGAACAGATACAGGGTGATCAGAATTCTGAAACTTTTGACCGATAATGAATAGTTTCGACACAAAATCCTAAAGGTGAAAAATCTCGATTTTGAACACCCTGTATCTCTGAAATCTTACTGGATAGACCCCAAGTGTGACACATCGATGTAATCAGCACTTCAGGGAGAATCTAAAAATGCGATAGAATACAGGGTGTTCCATTTGAAATATCAATGTTGCTACTACTTTCTAGTAGAAGCGGCAACACTGCATTGTCGAAAATATTTTAAATGAGGAGAGCGTATTCTAAAATATGAGCATGCATATTTTCATGTATGTCTCCCGACTGATTCTCGATATAGAGATAGTGTAAGCTCGTCGTGACATACCCTGTATATCAACTGGTGATCAAAAACATAAATACAGCAATACAGGGTGTTATTGAAGTATGTGGCCAAACCACAAGACTTGATTTTTCGAGTGATTCCAAGTTGAAAAGTTCATGTAAACATGGGTCCGAAAATACACCGTTTTCTAGACACAGGGTGTTGAAGATATTTGAAGGAAAAAAATCGCTGTTCCGTAAACATCGCAAAAATCTCTGATCCAATTTTGTTGAAATATTGCAGTGTTATTTGTAGGAGTAAGGTGATTAAGCCATTACTAGATTGACAAAACTCATTTTTATTTTTGAAAAAAGTTTCACACTGTGTATCTTGAAAATTCTGCATTTTCGGAGCTATGCTCCTATGAACTTTCCTTAGAATCACTAAGAAAATCGCCCCTTGAAGTTCGGCCACATACTTAAATAACACCCTGTATAGTACTCAACAAGCACTTTCCAAAAATGTGTACAATTCTGAAATATTTAGATTCCCAAGGCCTACTATTGGTTTTAGAAGAGGTCAAATGAATACCTACCTCATATAGGGTGTTAGTTATACAATGGCAAATTTTGATATTTTTGCTTTTTCAATTCACCCTGTATCAAAATCTAAGGAGTTGATATATCCAGCTGATTGAAAGAAAGAATCTAAACATTTATTTGAAATTTCTTCATGATTTAGCAAGTCCTCCATTTTGCGGCACTTGCCATTGAATCACCTTGTATGAGTAATGGAATTATTTCCAATAATAATAATGATACTTGAGGGTAGTTTGAATATTTGGCAGAATAATTTTGGTGGAATGACACCTGGAACCTGGAGCTTGGAAAATCTCGTCATTTTCATTTCATCTTCAATTACCTTTTATACAGGGTGAGCCATAATTATTGGGACATAGGCAAAGGGCCGATTGTTTGAACCAAAATATGACGATAGGACCAAATATGTTTTTTCAAGAAGGAATAAAAATTTGCAAATATAAAAGCTGAGGGTCGGTACAAAATTTCCGCATTGATTTCTCTCAAGAAAATATTTTTTTTTCAAGTTGTGATGAATCCCCGATTTATTTCCACTTGCGCAAAATTTTACGAAATAATTCTTTAGTTGTCGTAATTTTTCGAAATAACAAATGCCTTCCTTGTATCCTGTTGAATATTGTTACTTCAAAAATACGCCCTCAAAAAATATTCACACTAATACGTAATTTTAACAAAAAGTCTGATATTGAACGGAATTGCAAAAAGTTGATTTCAACAAACATTTTTAGTGTTGAAATTATTCAGTACTTACCCAGTTTGATCTTTTTTTTTTTGTTGTTTCTAAGCTCCAGGCCATTTCAACAAAAGTTTTTTTTTATACCACTCACACAAACCATGGAATTGTTGTATATTTTAAATGCTAATGGTAGTGTGAACACCTCCAATTTTGAGATAACAAGTTTTACATCCATCCAACTCGTCGATCTACTTGCTATTGTTTTAATTTTTTCGTTGATTTCGACAATTTTTCGATACGTGCAAAAGCAAATTGAAGAAAGAAAAAATGTCGAGACAGGGTATTCAATCTGCATAATGAATACCTTGTATAACAGTTTGAATACCTGTGAATATCCCATTAGTTCAAAAAAACGGGTGCTTTGAATATTTATTATTTTTTTTTTGTATTGTTATGGAATAAAGTTGCATGGATGGTAATCTAGAATTAATACTTACATTTTTGTGTTTCGTTTTCATACACAGGGCGTCCCCGATAATGTGGGCATTCTCCCGTTTCTCCCGGATGTGAATGGAACACAACAAAGTGATGGTATTTCTTTGTAGGAAAGTTTTCGAAAAAAAAAAACACGCCCTAGCTCCTGATATTCACTTTTGAAAGGGGGAGGAACGGAACTTCCTTTTTTCTAAATAAACTACGCAACAGTTATATCGTCGCACCCCAAAATTTTGTCCCTGTTAAAATATGAATAACTTTTTTCTGCTTTGAACAATTTGAATTCGGATTACACTGTTCGGTAGCCCAGTCTTTCAGCTATAATCTCGTACATCTTCAAAACATGAGGTTCTTCATATAAAATCTCTACAGGGTGTCACATGAAACTGTGAAAAATTTCGGAATTTTCAAAAGGATCCCAAATGAACAAAAACTGTTTTTTCCCAACTTCGACAGCAGAGGCATGAAGATGATCTCATTGCCAAGGGACATTTTCGAAATTGTCTCAATCTCTTTTATTTACAGAGTGATCTCAGGAAATTAACTTTCTGATTTTGCAGTCATAACTTTTTCCTTGTCAACCCTTTTTTAAAATCTCATTTCGAAGTTGAAACTTCAGATGAAGAGATATGAAGATCAGAATTGACTCAAGGTGAACATTATACAGTGTGTCTCACTTGTAATGGAAGCACAACTGTATGTTTCCAAATTGTTGAGATAGGATTCGGAAACTTACAGGAGCGGGAGATATACTGAAAATAAACACTATGACCAAGTGGAGTCATCTCCAGTAAACACTGCTCGCCAACAGCCATGGAACCAATCAAATTTCCTGAAAATGATATTAGGAGCCAAGATAGGTTGAAAATCACTTCGGATTCGAAATCAGGACGTCCAATTCACTGACTATATACAGGGTGATTCACATAAGAACCGACATAGAGCAGGGGCATGTAGGGGGTCCCAAAATATGACAATTTAACGCAACTTACCTCTATACCAAGTTGCTTTCCTGAGGAGATATAGGCTTTGAAAGTGAAGTTATAAATTTTGAAAAAAATCAATATCTTCGTTATTCTTGAATTTGGGGCAACCAAATTTGGTACACTTCGTGGATGTATTTAGGGCGTTACTTGACAGTAACTAGAGTTCAATTGAAATTTGTAAAGGGGGTATACCGGGTGGCTCACCTTTAATATTCAACAGAATTTTGTTAACCCTTGATGGATGTCAAAAATCTTTGCCTTGTTTTGTGGGCAATTCAATTCTAAAACTTTTCTTACTCTAGTAATTTTTCGGAAAACCTCATCATTTCCATCAAAAACTCGAATAACTGGAAACGCGCGCTCTAGGTGTGTTATTTATTAAAGTCATCGAAAATTCAAAAGTTGGCTATGAAAATAAACGTCAAACTTGACAATGAGGCAAGTGAGTTGTTCAATTAAGTAATTGTTGTTTGAGTGTTTTTAAAATGAACGGGAAGTTTTCTTTTAACGAGCAAGTTGACATGCTGTTAGTGCTACGCCTATAAGTCCTTAGGGAAGTAACTTGGTATAGGGGTAAGTTGCGTTGAATTGCCATATTTTGGGACCCCCTACATGCACCTGCCCTATGTCGGTTGTTATGTGAATCACCCTGTATACAGGGTGATTCAGTTTTTTGTAGCAAGACCTTAACAGCTTGAAGAAGACATTTTTTTTCAAGATGAAAATCTCTTACAAACATATATGCGTGGGAGCTTCGTTTCCGGTTTACAGGGTGTCAGTTTTGTTTTTTTTTTTCATGTTTTGTTTTTTCTAGTTTCAATTATAATGGTGTTCAAAGAATTCTATTCAATTTCGCAACTGAATTTCATTTGGTATGGAAGCTTTCGGTCATTCTATCTTTCAATAAAATGTTTAAGAAATGTCAAATAAGTGTGTTTGAAAAATAACGGTTTTATTACAAGTAATTCATTTTTGTCATTTATCTCGAGATCCATACAGTTTTCGAAAAATTTACATGGGGGCAAAAAGTTTCCAAATTGAAAGGACAATCTGAATCTATGTCCCATTGAAAGCAGAGACGACACGCAAAAAAGTTCTACAGGGTTAAATTGGGTACGACCCCTGAAAGTCTATCACCCTGTAGGTATTCAGAGATGTTCAATAGTCTCAAATATTGAATTTTCGAAGTGTATTAGGTGTACCAAATTTCAATCAATTATTCCGAAAATTGTAGGAGAAAAGTCAAAAAACAATCTTGCCTCCTCATATCATTTTTGTGGGTGGTTCCATGGCTGTTGACGAGCAGTGTATATCACTGGAGACGACTGCACTTGGTCATAGTGTGTATTTCCAGTATATCTACCGCTCTTGCAAATTTCAGAATCGTAATTCAACAATTAGGAAACATACAGGGGTGCTTCCATTAGAAGTGAGACACACTGTATAATGTTCATCTTGAGTCAATTCTGACCCTCATATCTCTTCATCTGAAGTTGAAGCTTCAAAATGAGCCTGAGATTTCAAAAATCGGTTGACGAGGAAAAAATTAAGACTGCAAAACCAAAAAGTTAATTTTTTGAGATCACTCTGTAAATAAAAGAGATAAGGAGACAATTCGAGAACTGTTTCAAGATAATGAGATCATCTACATGCCTCTACTGTCAAAGTTGAGAAAAAAAAAGGTTTTTCTCATTTGGGATACTTTTGAAATTTCCGAAATTTTGCACAGTTTCAGGTAACACCCTGTAGCGATTTTATATGAAGAACCTAATATTTTAAAGAATTACGAGATTATAGCTGAAGGACTGAGCTAGCGAACAGTGTAATCCGAAATCAAATCATTCAAAGCAGAAAAAAGTTATTCATATTCCAACAGAGGCAAAATTTGAGGGTGCGACGAAATTAGTTTTGCGTAGTTTAGTTATTTTCATAGCAAGCGCGGGCAGTGGAAAAATTCGAGCGGGATTTTTTTATTCATTATTCTACATTCTTCTTGTGTTGTTTCAGTTTGTAATTGTGTAATGTATTGTGATGTTGTGTTTGTAGCCACTATCGCGAAGTAGCTGCCACGTCACTGTCACTCTTGTCAGTGCATACCTCATTCATTGATAGTTTTTTTTTTCCATTTTGAAGCATTGAATATTGAAGCTTTCCAACTTGCAGCTGGATTGAAAATCTGAATGAAATCCTCAGCACAGCGATTCATTTGCTACCGTTATTCCGGACATACTTCCGTCATGTGATAACGAGATGAAACAAAAAGCAAATAAAAAGGGATGATGTCTCCTTTGCGAATATCCAAACGTGCCGCGATTCAAACTGATCTAAGTTAGTGGCAGAGCGTCAATATTTCGTCCCTCAAAAGATGATATCCGATGGACCAGTGTGCAACCCAAAATGTGGATATGAATACTTGTATTGCGAGCACTACATGAGTTTTATACTGATCCATCGGATATTATCTTTCGACAGGAGTGAAATATTCTCGGAAATATTGACGCTCTGCCACTAACTTAGTTCAGTTTGAATCACGGCACGTTTGGATATTCGCAAGAAGGACATTGTCCTCTTTTATTGGCTATTTGTTTGGACTCGTTATCACATGACGGAAGTATGCCTGGAATAATGACAGCAAATAAATCGCTGTGCTGTGGATTCAACAGAAAGAGTGCTATTTTTCAATCATTTTGCTCATTGGCACTGGTGCCGTTCGATATGGCTTTGGGGCATACAGAGAAGTGCACAAAAAACGGCCAGGATTGTAACTTTTGAATTATTCTAGATAGGGTTTTGGAAATTGATGGGTAGCAAGTATACTAAATTGCTCATTAATTATTGATGGAACAATTTTTCTTCCATCACTTCCAGTTTCACCGGAAACGACCACAACTCTTGATTTTTAAATGGGACACCCTGTATTGTATTCCATAATGGGTTAGGGATTATCATGACGAATTCAACGATACCGGGTTCGATAGGGTTATGTCAAACGATTACAAAGATATTTGCGTTCGAATTTTCCATATGCTCAATGGGTGTGACTTGGCAATATCAAAACTTCTTTCTCTGTCACACTCATTGAGCATATGCAAACTTAGAACGCGAATATCTGCGTAATTGTTTGAAATAACCCTATCAAAACCGGAATCGACTAATTCATCATGACAATTCCTAATCGATTATTGAATACAATACAGGATGTCCCATTTAAAAATCGAAAGTTGCGGTCGTTTCCAGTGAAACCGGAAGTGATAGAACAAAAATTATTTCGTCAATAATTAATGAACAATTTGGTATACTAGCTGCCCACCAATTTTCAAAACCCTATCTCAAATAATTCATAATTGACAGTCCTGGCCGTTTTTGTGCACTTCTCTGTATGTCATTTCGTTATCAGATGACTCTCGAAATTTGCAGCGGGCTCTTGGAAATTAGTAAATTCAAATCAAATACCTTAGTGACACACGTGACAGCTAGTGCGCGGGAACTACTACTAATACGACAATGCAATATTCCACGATTCCAAACTGAAATAATGCGAGAGGAACGTAAAATACGAAAATTGTAAGGGGAGCAAATATTTTTTCACTGTCCGACTCGTTATGAAAATAACTTTTTTTAGAAACGGAAGTTTTCGTCTCTCGCATCCAAAAGTGAAAATCCCGAACAGGGAAGTTCGTTTTATTGCAAAACTTCCTACAAAGAAGTACCAATCACTCTGTGGTGTTCCCATTCACATCAGGAAGACTGGGCCTAATCCCACATCATCTGGGACGCCTAATGGGAGGGGAAGTGAGGGGAAACATAGGGGTAGAGAGGGAGGGAAAACATAGGGGTAGAGAGGGAGAGGGAGGGGAAAGGGAGTGAGTTGGAGGAGTTAGGGGTCCGGAGCAGAAAAGGTAGAGAGAGGAATGAAGGAGATGGAAAAGAGACAGAAATAAAGATACTATATAATAAACATTTGTGTTTTTTATTCTTACATTAATTATATAGTACAAAAAAACTTTGTTACTGTACAAAAATCTATTCAAATAATATACAATATACAATGTAATTCAATTTACAAAACCAGTACTTCCTAACAAAGAAACAAAGCTAGGGGATGGGGCGGGGGGTAAATTGGGGTGCATTCAGCCTACCCCTAGCGGTTTCACCCCGAGTGTTTGCTCGTCGGGTCGGTCGGTTTGACCACAGTGTCGAGATATTGAGTATTGTCGTACGGGACGAGATGTCAAATCGTCCGCTTCCAAGCGTCACGGTTACTTTGAGAGTGGGGGTATCGAAATTGGTGACCGGTATTTTCCCTCTACTTGGGCCGGACGTACTGAGTGATACTAAAAGTATTTCGAAAAAGATTGTGAGAATATTCGACGTGGGTTAGTACTCGACGAAATAAAGGGGAAAAGGTTTTTGTGAATTGGTGTCCAGAATGTTTGGTTGGTTTTGGAGATGAAGGTAATTATATTGCATTGATGATGTTCTCATTCCTCAAAGTACCTACTGAACGATTCGAAATTACAGAGTTACACAAAGTTACGAACAATATTTTCTCAAAATTTTAGCGGAAATAAAAAGTTCTCCAAATTGATCAGATTGATAATTTCAATTAATTATTGTATTGAGAATTTGGTGGTTACAATATTTCGCTTGTCGGTTTGAAGTTCACTTCATATGACAGAATAAAGCGTTTGACAACCGAATTTTGGATGACACAATGAACATTACATGAATCATTTAAAAGAAAGACGTTTCAAAATTAGAAAAATAATAATTCACGAAACCAGAGTGCCTGAAAACGTTGCATTAGAAATGTTACTAGGATATGAAAATTGAAGATTATACAAAAGGACGTCCCATTTGAAAATTAATGTCGTTTTTGAAAGTTGTGCGTCACCCTCAATGAAATTCATCAAATCTATGGAATGAAGAGTTGTAAGGACATGTCACTCCTCTAAAAAAAAACCTTCATATCAAAAACCGCACTTTCTTGGAACAATTATTCACAAAAACCTTTCCCCCATTTCGGAGTATACCACCTACCCTGTAGCTCATTACCCTTTTTTCGAAACACCCTGTGTGTATTCTCAGTACGCCTGGCGGCGAGTAGCGAGAAAATACAAGTCACTTTCCCGAACGCGCACGCGCAAAGTTACCGTAACCTTGGAAACGGACGACCTAAAGTCTCGTCTCGACGACAATAACGCCGATATGACGTCACTGCATCAAACCACCGACCCTACAAAACGAGCATAATATCGCGATAGAAAATAAACCAACGTCATCTGGCGGTATTTTTTCGATAACTTGGTGTAAACAAACTGCTAAGAAAGGGTTTCAAGTGAAGACTTATTAACCCAAGGACACACAACATTATATCATTAATAAAACTACAGGGGTGAGACTTTAACTAGAATAAATTCGCTAGCGAGAAGTGGACTTATTTTTTCTTGAAATTCCCGATATACGTCAACGTTCAAATGTACTTACCTACATTTTGCAAGCAATATGGGAAATACAGCCCTTCATGGGTAGTTGACACCACCCTGTTTACTTTTTTTTTTTCAAATGCAACCATTTGGCTTGTGACCCCTCATTGGAAAGCTGGTGGAAAGAGTATTCCAGTGTACTAATCAAATTTCAGTTTTTAGTACTTTTGATGGTTGCATAAAATCGCTGAAAATGCAATTCAAAGCAATTTCTTGCTACAACTGATATCTGCTGCTATTTTATACCAGTGTTTCTACACAATCGCAAAATGAAATATTTCACAAGTGTTGATGCAAACTGGTGAATATGCCTCATTACTGAATCGCTAAAACTTGAAATATTCATGAAAATATGTTGAAAATATTTCAAACTCTTCATTTCTTCCAGTTAAAGTCTCCACCCTGTATAATTATTTGGCCTCGAATATTTCCACAAGGAATGGCAATCGGACCTTTTTGTCGTATTGGCAACGTCGTAATATTGTGGATATGATAAACAAATAGATATTCTTCAAACAACTGTTGAAAGAAACACAGCTTCTTCAGAATTCTCCAGTTTCTTTGCACACGTAGTAATTGAAAATTATGAAATAAAATGTGAACTACCGTTCAAAACTATGAAGCAATTTTGTGGCAACACCGCTACTTGAAATGTCAAAGCCGGCAAATTGCGTTGTTGTCGCTTCTCGAGCAAGCAATCCCTAGGATGCAACATAATTCAATAAATTAATGTTTAAATATTCTGATTATGAATTGATCGAAGTTAATCTGTCTCCTTGGGCTACAATGAGGCTACGAGTTCAAGTTATTGCCGCCAGGTGGGGCGACGTGCTATTTTCTATCGCTGACAGATGTCAATTTGACGTTTTTGTCTTTGCCCACCATGAGTAAACGTCAAATCGGCATCGTACCTCGACATTTGGGGTGAACGCGCTTTCATCTGTCCGGCAGGGTTATACCGAAACATTTTTCATCGTTGTAAACTAGAAAGAATAAACATAAATCGAGATCATTCAGTTCGAATTTTCGGAGCCCAATCGAGATACTACGAGCAGGCTTCCTAACAATCAAAGTTTTCTTCTAATATAACGAATTGGCACTTTGAAATAGCACTTTGAGAGTTTTTCTTTAGTTTTTTTCGTAACTGTTACAAAATGGCGAGTATCACCCTCCACTTGACGATAAACTTTCAAATAATCTAGTTATTCCACATTGAATACTGAATAGCAGCATACTCTGCTAAAAATACAATTTTTCTTTTTACAGGCACATATTCATACAGTTAGTTGAAAATAACCATTATGTTTTCTGGTAATTTCAAACGACATCGAATACACTGGAAACTTGAAGAAATGTCAAAACACCGATAGTAAAAATGCACCACAGAAAAATGTTTCCGAACTTGGAAACTGCAAATCAATCAGTCCAATTCTGAAAATGCCACAAGGCAAAAAAAAACATCATCTCAATACAAAGAAAATTAGAAAATGAGAATTATTTCTGTTTTTCAACTGTCCGATTTCGGATTTTCTGATAAATAAATAACGTAATGTTCAAGAAAAAAATCATAATGAAAAATTGGACCAATGATGAAACAGTGGCAAAATATAATACATACAGTATCGAAAACACTTCTCAGTGATTCTTTAGACCGGAAGCTTTGTCAAAAAAAGCTGACATACGGTGCACGCAAGACCAACAATAAAAAAAAAACGATCATCATCATCAAACAAGGTTGCGTAAAAATCGGATAAGAAGTACGCTCGAGTCGTACCGAGTCTCTTTCTACATACAGGAAGGTAAAACCGTGCATATTCAGCATTTTCATCGAGCCACTATATTTTTCTTTGTACATCTATGTACAAGTACGCACGTGAACACACACACCCACAAAGACGAGAGAAACAATTGCACTCGATCTCATATTGTTCGAACGCGTGTGTCAGGAATGTCGAAAACCCCAACGTCCAGCTTTACATTATTATCACACAAAAAGTTATTTATCCGTCATCGTCTGAATCATCTGTCGGTGCTCCAAACAAGTTATAGCATAGAATTCCTCACAAGTTTCTTGATAAATGTCACAAACTGAACTATTTTCGCGTGATATAACACAATAAGTACGAAACAATTCCTATTATTATCAGATAATACGAAAATATTTGTGGAAATGAATAAGTGGCGCAGTCGGTAGGATCATTTGCAATGGTCCCCAGATACGATGCAAATGAAATTTCATCGATAGATACCGAAATACTTGAGGGAAGTCAACAAGTGGCGCAGTCGGTAGGATATTTTTTTGGATTATCCATAAGATTTATACTCCTTCTGCTAATTCAACCTTAGAAATCTGTTCTGTTCTATTGATGGTGATTATGAACATCAACACTGGAACGATTATAAGCTTATAATCGACATAATATTGAAAAAACCATGGTATAAAAGACTTGCAAGATGCAAGAGTCATTAGATTCTATTTGAATAAATACACCCGTCTCCTGTCATCGTGAACAGAACAATATATAATGTTATTCACCTCTGTTGTAGACATTTCAATTATGACTGTTCGATAATTTTGATATTTTTGTATTCAATTCTTTTATTCCAAGCACCAGTCAGGCAGAACAATTGAGTAAACCCACCAGAGGTTATTCACATCTGTATTCGATGTATGTAATATAACTGTGATGGTTATCAACTGTGATCCTACCGACTGCGCCAATTCTACATTTTCTCGATATTAATGGTTATTTTAAAGAATTCAAGGGTAAAAGAGTGACTTTGTGAAAGTAGAATGAGCAGGAGAAATTGGAATTGCAAAATCTACATTTCCGTGGACCATTTTTTGAAACATCATATCCTAATTTAGTATCAGCGATGCCCGGAAGAAAATCATCACCTAGAGCTTAATGTTTTGAAGAATAATGGTATCATGGATTATAGTTTTTGAAACAATTTGGATCTATAATATCCATTGATTTCAACAGAATTCTTGGAGCTATGTGGTAAATCGGTGTGTTAACATTTCTCGTTATTTATTAATTGTGACAGTAACTGCGCCAATTTTACATTTTCAAGAAAATTTCGGTACTTCAAAGTACGAGTTCTGTTACTAATGACGTGAAAAAATGATTATGGAACAAAACTCCATGTCAAGAAGTGAACAAGAATGACACTTTTCGTGAATTCTCATTGCGTAAGTCCACCGAAGGTTTCTTAATATCATTATTAAATGGACGTTATGCAACCGTCATTGCTACTATTTATGATCGTACCGATTGCGCTAATTTCACATTTTCACGAGAATTTCGTTAATTTACGAATTGTCTTATGGTGCAAGGCACACTAGAAACGTAATTCAACTGTAATGTCATCAATTCTGATCCTACCGACTGCGCCAATTTCACATTTTCAAGAGAATTTCAGTACTTAGAAGTACGAGTTGTGTTACGGTGCATGATAGTAACGTAAAGAAATGATTATGGAACAAAACTCCAAGTCAACAAGTGAACAAAGTAACAAAAATTACACTTGTCGTGGATTCCCATTGCGTAAGTCCACCAGAGGTCATTACTACTAGTTACGATCCTACCGACTGCGTTAATTTCACATTTTCACGAGAATTTCGGTAGTTTGAAGTACGAGTTGTCTTATGATGCATACTAGTAACGTAAAAAAATATTATCAAACAAAATTTCAAGCCAGCATATGAACAAAAATGACATTTGTCGTGAATGCCTATTGTGTAAGCTAACAACAGGTTATTCACATCATTATTCCAGGCATGAGATGTAACTGTCGTGTTATTAATTTTGATCCTACCGACTGCGCCAATTTTACATTTTCACGACAATTTCAGTACTGTGAAGTACGAGTTGTGTTACGGTGCATACTAGTAACGTGAAAAAATGATTATGGAAGTCAACAAGTGAACAAAAATGAAACTTGTCGTGAATTCCCATTGCGTAAGTCCACCAGAGGTCATTGCTACTAATTATGATCCTACCGACTGCGTTAATTTCACATTTTCACGAGAATTTTGGTAGTTCGAAGTACGAGTTGTCCTATGATGCATACTAGTCAAGTAGAAAAATATTATCAAACAAAATTTCAAGCCAGCACATGAACAACAACGACATTTGTCGTGAATTCCTATTGTTAGCTGACCACAGGTTATTTACATCATTATTCAAGGCATGTAATTCAACTGTCGAGTTATCAATTTTGATCCTACCGACTGCGCCAATTTCACATTTTCACGACAATTTCAGTACTGTGAAGTACGAGTTGTGTTACGGTGCATACTAGTAACGTGAAAAACTGATTATGGACACAATTCCAAGTCAACAAGTGAACAAAAATGACACTTGTCGGCAATTCCCATTGCGCAAGTCCACCAGAGGTTCATTAATATCATTCAATGTACGTAATGCAACTGTCATTGCTACTAGTTATGATCCCACCGACTGCACTAATTTCAAATTTTCACGAGAACTTCGGTAGTTTGTACGTAAAAAAAATATTATCGAACAAAATTTCAAGCCAACACATGAACAAAAATGACATTTGTCCTGAAAGCTGATCAAAGGTTATTCACATCATTATTCGAGGCATGTAATTCAGCTGTCGTGTTATTAATTTTTATCCTACCGACTGCGCCAATTCCACATTTTCACGAGAATTTCTGTACCATCCATCAAAAATAGTTATTCAAAGTACGAGTTGTGTTACGGTGCTTTCAAATCCACGCCAAAATAATTATCATAGAACAAAACCCGACATTTTCCCTATAACTCGTCTGGAAGCACCATCAAAAAATGCCGCGGCGGACAAAATGTAAAGAAAGCGCGTTCACACGCCCTCGTTCGAATCAGACTTGCCGGAATTATCGCCGTCGTTCGACGTCGTGGTGGCGCTGCCGTCGTCCGAGCTCTTCGCCGCCGCGTTCTCGGCGTCGTGACGTTCGATGACGGCCTCGAGGGCGGAAAGGGCGTCCTTGACAGCGTGGTAAATTATGTTTTTGATTTGCAGCTTGTCCTCGTGGTTGGAATGGGTGTCGGTGAGGTCGCGGAACTCTTGCGTGAGGTGGAAGCAGTGGGAGACGTTCTCGGGCGAGACGAAGTCTTCCGCCACCTAAGAGAAAAAATCGAATTCGTTGAAAAAATAATTCGATTTCACTCACCGGCAAAAATAATGTCGGAAAAAACTGTTTGCTAAATTGTTCGCATTGATGCCTGTCCGATTTTAATGAAATTCCGACCAAATCGTAGATTTATACAGGGTGATCCACGGTGGATGGCCTATTAGTCCAGTCATTATAGACTTTGACCCGTGAATAATTTTTTAGTGTTTTTTTTTTCATAGGTGTCTCGGGGGGGTCACTGGGAGTGTAAATTCAAAATGGCGACCAAATCAAGCTTTTGCGTATGTTTTTTTTTTTTTGTTAAAAAACGGTTTTTCTTGAATAACTCGGCCATTTTTGATTCTACAGAAAAAGTTTGGGGACAAAAATTGTAGTAAATTTGGTTCTCTACAAGTTTGGTCCTCACAATTTTTTTGATAGGATCGATATCTTGTAAATTAAACCGACAAATTCGAAATATTTTCATTATCTCGTTTATTTTCAACTTTACGGCATAAATGAAGAGGACTAAACTTGTGGAAAATCAAATTCTAAACAATTTTGGTCTTCACGTTTTTGTTCCAAAAATCGATATTTTGGGAATTAAACCTGAAAAAAGCGACAAATTCGAAAGATTATCATTATCTCCAATGCTTCGCATTTTACGGCATAAATGAAGAGGTTATTCCGCGCAGGTAGCTTGTCTGTCATGTCGGTGTGAAAATATGGTTCCGGAACTATTTTTTTTTTTGGGTTTCTTAGCTGATGGTCCTGCCAAATCCATATCCTCTCTTTCTTCTTCGGTCAATTGGTAATGTCCAGTTTCACGTTCGTTAAGGTTCAGTGTTAATGGTGCGGGATCGTCGATGTCGTTGTCATCATCACTGTCTTTGTCATCATCACTGTCTTTGTCATCGACGGCTGGCAATTGTGTGACGTTATCGCAAGTCTGCCCAGCGCAGTTGTGGCATTAGACAGAACATTTCAGTGGGTACATATTTTCTGGTTAAATTCCGAAAATATCGATTTTCGGAAAAAACAGGTAGAGACCAAATTTGTCCAAAATTTGATTCTCTACAAGTTTGTTTCTTCTCATTTATGGTGTAAAGTTGAGAATAAACGAGATAATGATGATATTTCGAATGAGCCGTTTTTTTTTTAGGTTTAATTCCGAAAATATCGATTTTCGGAAAAACAGGTGAAGACAAAATTTGTCCAAAATTTGCTTCTCTACAAGTTTGTTTCTTCTCATTTATGGTGTAAAGTTGAGAATAAACGAGATGATGATGATATTTCGAATGAACCGTTATTTTTTTAGGTTTAATTCCGAAAATATCGATTTTTGGAAAAACAGGTGAAGACAAAATTTGTCCAAAATTTGATTCTCTACAAGTTTGTTTCTGTTCATTTATGCCGTAAAGTTGAAAATAAACGAGATAATGAAAATATTTCGAATTTGTCGCTTTTTTCAGGTTTAATTTACAAAAACCGTTTTTTAACAAAAAAAAACAGTTTTCGAACATACGCAAAAGCTTGATTTGGTCGCCATTTTGAATTTACACTCCCAGTGACCCCCCGAGACACCTATGAAAAAAAAACACTAAAAAATTATTCACGGGTAAGGCCCGTTATTTGGATATAATGACTGGACAGGAGTATCTGGAGAACGAAAAGACAGAACATTCTGAAAAATGGGATGCTTTGATAATTGAACATCCTCTATCCGTCTAAAGTATTTTCATCGATACAGTGTTGCCACTTCTATCAGAAACAACTAGCAACTTTGTTATTATTAATGGAGCACCCTGTATTGTATTGAATTTTTAGATTCTTTCTAAAAGGCTGATTTCATCAATATAATGGAAAAAAATTCAAAAAAATCGAAAGACTCTCCTACTCACCTTGATGCAATTGTGCAGATTCCTGACTTGGTGCGGCGCCCCGGCGGGAATGAAAACCGCATCTCCCTTGCATTGCACGATGGCGTATCCTTCTACGCCGTACTCTTTGTACAGCCGTTCGCGCAACGGCCCGTCCAGGTAGCAGCTCTGGTCGTGGATGGGGTCGTGGTGCGGCTCCAGTCTGCCGCCCTTCTCCACCACCACCTAAAAAAATGAAAAAAAAAATTGTTACATGGTACAAAAGGAAACTGTGTGTTGTCGCAAGTTACAGATTTGGCAACATTGCTTTTCTTCACTCTCCTAATTTGTTGGCGCAAATTCTATTTCTGAGACTTCGCGAGATTTGGCAACATTGCTTTTCTTCACTTTCCGAATTTGTTGGGGCAAATTCCATTCAAGCAATTACTTTCAAGACTTTCCGCGAGATTTGGCAATATTGTTTTTTCTACTCCCCGAATTCGTTGTTGACGTGAATTCTATTCAAGCAACGTGTACTTACAGACTTTTCGCGAGACTTGGCAATATTGCTCTCCTTCACTATCCAATTTTGTTGTGAGTGCAAATATAACAAGTTCTAAGACTTAACAAGATTTGGCAACATTGCTTTTCTTCACTCTATGACACAAATTCTGTTTTAGCACCGTGTACTCACTTTTCGCGAGATTTGGCAACATTGCTTACCCACTCTCTTTTGTTATATAAGCAGATTGTATTTAAGCGAGAAGTTCTAAGACTTTTCGAAAAATTCGGCAAAATTGTCTTTTTTCGCTCTTCGAATTTGTTATTGGCGCAAATTCTATTTGAACAAGAAGTTCTAAGACTTCACAAGTTTTGGCAACATTGCTTTCCTTCACTCTCCGAATTTGTTGTTGACGCAAAATCTATTCAAGCAACATGTTCTAAGACTTTTCGCAAGATTTGGCAACATTGCTTTCTTTCACTCTCCAAATTTGTTGTGTAAGAGCACATTCTATGCAAGCAAGAAGTTCTCAGACTTTTCGAAAGATTCGGCAACATTGCTTTTCTTCGCTCTCCAAATTTGTTGTTGGCGCGAATTCTATTTGAGCAATAAGTTCTAAAACTTCTCGCAAGATTTGGCGACATTGCTTTTCTTCATTCTCCGAATTTGTTGTTGCCACAATTCAAATTTAAGCAACAAGTAAGACTTCGCAACATTTGGCAATATTGCTTTTCTTCGTCATTTTGTGTGACAATGGGATTTTGCGGGTCAATCGAAGTGCAAAACACAGTTACACAAAATGCTTTTTCTAACTAGTTACGTGCAATAATTTTTTTGATAGTGATGAAAAAATCCGGCTGAACAGAAATTACGTAACAGTATTATTATTATTACTATTATTACTATTATAATTATTATTACCTTGTTGAGCAAATCCCTGATTTTATCAGCATCCCTGGCATTGTAGATGTGCCAAAGGGCGCCGGGCAATTCGCCCTTGTCGCGCACCCTCCGCCTCGTCAATATGTCGCAGCCCGCTTCGTCGATGGCCCTGAACGCCTCCTTGATGTGCTCATCGGTGTCGCCATCTTTCGGGATTCCCACGTACCTACACAACAAAGTCATTCACATCAAGACTTGACACGAATTTATTTTGTATTTATGGAAAAGGTAGAGAAAATGGTGAACAGAACTTCATTATTTCATGGGTTGCGTGCAAGAACGGTCATTGAAACACAACCTCACTTTTCTTATTTGTTTACAAGTGATTGATACATTAGCTGCGTTTCATTTATCCGATTCCTCCAACAGGGAATGACGTGGAATGACAGTTGACAATTGTCAAGAAATTATATTAGATTGACGAAAAACGAAACTTTTTGAAAGTAGAAGACATTTTTATGGTGAGGTTCACAAGTTCATGATTCTTCCAAGACTGGTTTCATTTGTTCATTCTCGATCTCAAAAAAGTTTGTCCAATCACCACAGTCACTGCTCCAAAAGTTTGTCGATTCATTTTCTAGATTCTCAACTCTAGTATCATGAATTTGAAATTATTTGGAGTCCAAATACTTGAATATGACCTCTTAAGTGAAGTCTCCCATGCAAGGTCATGAAGTTTCTCGTTTTATTTGTAATCGTCATTCTGTTTCGTTACCACCGATACAACAAGGCCAGCAGACTCTGACGTAAACAGCTCGTGACGTCACCAAGAGAGGCCAGTGTTTTATTTTATCGCTTGTCGACTAACGCGTCAGTTCGTGTTAATTCATCGGTGATTCACGTATGTTTTTGAAACGGTCCCGAATTCTTTTGTTGTTTATTCATCAAAATAATTGGCGGAAAAATTACTGTTTTGTGAAAGATTTTGTGTTGTGACCGGCGAAATAACAATGCCTTTCAAGTGTTGTGTTCCCTTTTGCCGGGGGAATTATGTGGGTGGTTCAAAAGTTCATGCTTTTAGTTTCCCGTTGGACGAGGAGCTATCGAAAATGTGGGTATATGCAATTCACCGCGAGGATTTTACTCCATCTAAGCTCAGTAGTAAACAGAGCTTAATTTATAATGATGAATTAATAATAGAAGACAATTACAGAAAAATAGAAAAGCTTTGATTGTGCAGTTAGTTTTGTATTCGTATATTATAGTCAACAAAATCATCTCTGAATTCGTTTTTCCATAATAAAATCGAATGGGGTGCGAAGAAGGGCTCAGTTGACGACTGGCATCCTTTTTCAACCGGAAGCCCTTCAAAAAAACAGCAAAATCGGCTCAATGATGATCTAAAACTAAAATCGAAATACGCGGTCGCCTTATAGCGCTATAAGCGCTTGTCGTTTCGAGCCGCTGGTTACGCCTCACTAAGTGACGTCAACCACGGAGCATGCAGGCCTTGTTGTATCGGTGGTAACGTCTGTTTCCACCTCCGCTACCAAAATGGAACAAATAAAACGCAACTATTGTGCCGTTGTACAATGCACAAAAAATGCAGCGGGAGAGGAAGGAATCCGGTTAGTACATTCAGATTTAAAAGTAAGTACCTACTATAGTCACTCATATAGTTTTCATTTTGAAATTTGGTAATTTCTCTGATTTCTCTTCGGAATTCCTTCTGCAATAGGAACTAATAGAAATACTCGTGAAATTTCTAAAAGAATGCAAGAAGATTGGATTCATGCAAATAAACGGGAGGACTGGTCTGACATGCTGACGAAATATCACCGTGTGTGTTGTAGACATTTTCAATCCATTAGCAGTATTAGCTTTTATTGCAGAAGTGGCAGAAGGAATTCCAATAAGAAATGGCAAAATTTCATAATGAAAACTATGTGAGATTACTATTTACCTGAAAAATCATATTCCTTCGTCTCTCGCTGCATTTTTTGTGCATTGTACAACGGCACAATGAGAAGGCATGCTTGAATTAATGAATAGCGCACAAAACACGATTCGTATGCCATAATATTGTGAAAAACTATTTCAATCCTTTGATTCCTCTGTAAACAAATAGTGAGGTTGTGTTTCAATGTTTCACAGAACAGTGAGGTTGTGTTTCACTACCTTACCTCCAGGGTCGGTAATCGTGCACGCGACCTATTCAACGAGACATAACCTCACTTGTAACCCTCCGAAATCAAACTTCCTACAGTTCACAAAAGCAAAATCAACGAGACTTATACTTACACCATGACGTTGACCGCATCGGAAATGTCCAAATGCAAATTCGTCGTGCCCTTGTTGGGATGCAACGCCGATCCGTACGCGTTGTACATCTTGGGACCCAAATCGGGGCGAACGAAACACTCGGGCAGCCGGCTGGCCAAATTGAGTCTGCCCGTGCGGTGAGTGTATTCTGCTAGGGGCAGCACCTTCATCAGGTCGGCGTAGCGAGAGGGCATGATTTCGGCGAAATCCTCGCCGGGAGGCCAGTCTTTCAGCTTCAACAGCATCGATTGCCCGCGATCATCCTAGAGAGGAGTTTTTTATATTGCGTTTGATTCTCCTGAGGTCACGATTTCAAGTTTCTTTCCAGATATTTGAAATATTCTGACGTCCTGAACAATATTTTCATTTTTTGGTTCCTCTCAGAGGTCACAATTCATTTTGTTTTATCCCCTTAAAAAAAATGAATTGGTACATCTCTGAGGTCGCAAATCCGAGTTTTTTCAAGGTATTTCAAAATTTTCTGACGTTTTTTAATGCGAATATCGCTCATAATCACCCTGAACAACATTTATACAGGGTGTAAATTTGAAAACTTCCAATGCGAATATCTCGCGAAAGAAAAAAGTTAGAAAAACGCCGTTTGGCAAAATTGCTAAAGAGTTAAGGGGAACTAGAACCACCATATTTCGGTCAAGGGATGAGTCACCCTGTCAGCGCAACACACCCCAACTTTGAAATGTCAAACGGCACTACCTTTTTGTGATGCCTCAAATGAACAGTCTCAGTCAGTAGTATTCACCTGTACAAGACGTTTTTTCCACCCACTACAGGGTGTACGAAAAATATAAAGTCGAATTAAATAAAATGAATTGTGTAAATAGGATATTTTATTTGATCAGATGTTCAAAATGCATTCCATTTTGTTGTAAGCGATAGTATAATCGATGTTCAAATGCCATTCTAACATTTTGGAACACATCTCTTGGAATATATCGGCATTCTGCATTTTATTTTATTCGACTTTATGTTTTCCGTTCACCCTGTAGTGGGTGGAAAATAAGTCTTGTACAGGTGAATACTACTGACTGAGACTGTTCATTTGAGGTATCACAAAAGAGGTAGTGCCATTTGACATTTCAAAGATGGAGTGTGTCGCGCCGACGGGGTGACTCATCCCTTTACTGAAGTATGGTGGTTCTAGTTCCCCCTAACTCTGTAGCATTTGTGCCAAACGGCGTTTTCCTGTTTTATTTAGCGAGATATTCGCATTGAAAGTTTTTAAATTTAGATCCTCGAATTAATGTTTTTCGTACACCCTGTAGTGGGTGGAAAAAAGTCTTGTACAGGTGAATACTACTGACTGAGACCGTTCATTTGAGGTATCACAAAAGAGGTAGTGCCATTTGACATTTCAAAGTTGGGGTGTGTTGCGCTGACAGGGTGACTCATCCCTTCACTGAAATATGGTGGTTCTAGTTCCCCTTAACTCTTTAGCATTTTTGCCAAGCGGCGTTTTTCTAACTTTTTTATTTCGCGAGATATTCGCATTGAAAGTTTTCAAATTTACACCCTGTATAGTTTTATCTCATTAAAAAAAAGTACGTCTCTGAGGTCACAAATCCGAGTTTTTTCAAGTAATTTTGAATTTTCTGACGATTTTTATTGCGAAGATTGCCAGCGATCATCCTGAGCAACATTTATATGTATTGTTTATCCATTTCAGAGAAACACATGCTAAGTCTCTGAGGTCACAAATCCCTCAAATTATTTTAAATTTTCTTACGATTTTCATTGCAAAGATTGCCCGAGATCGTCCTGAAGAACATTTTCAATGTTGCGTTTTATTTTCCTGAGGTCACGAATTCCAAGTTTGTTTCGAGATATTTGGAATACTCTGACGTCCTAAACAATATTTATATGCTCTGGTACCTCTCTGAGGTCACAATTCATTTTGTTTTATCCCCTTAGGAAAAATAAATTGGTACGTCTCTGAGGTCACAAACCTGAGTTTTTTCAAGTTATTTCGAAATTTTCTGACGTTAATGCAAATATTGCTCGCGATCATCCTGAACATTTATATTGTTTTATCCCCTTTAGAAAAAAAAATGTGCGTCTCTGAGGTCACAAATCCGAGTTTTTTCAAGTTATTTTGAATTTTCTGACGATTTTTATTGCGAAGATTGCCCGCGATCATCCTGAGCAACATTTACATTGTGTTTTAGCCCTTTCAGAGAAACACATGCTACGTCTCTGAGGTCACAAATCCCTCAAATTATTTTGAATTTTCTTACGATTTTTATTGCAAAGATTGCCCGAGATCGTCCTCAAGAGTTCCGTTTGTGTTTCTTAGACAGCACTCACCCGCAAATGTAAAAAGTGTCTGTTATTATCCCCACCATTCGCGATTTCATTCATGTAACCGTGTTTGACGTTTAGGATTGTTGACGTATACTTTTCAATGATTTATGAATGAATAGCGGTGTCAATATATTGTTATTTAAATTGACAATTGTCTGTTATTATCGCCACCATTCGTGATTTCATTCATTCAACTGTGTTTGGTGTCCAGGATTGTTAGCGTATACTTTTTGATGATTCATATTTCATGATAGAATCGCGGTGTCCATCTGTTGACCATTCTAGAACACGTGACTTTGACATGGTTTCTTGAAGGGCACACAAACTATCTGTTTGGTCATCTTTGATGAGAATAGCTCTGCCCACATCCAGAATACAATAACAGATCCACCAAATTGAATTCATTTGGAGCACACACCAGCAAATGTACGAGTATTTGTTATTATCCCCACCACTTGCGATTTCATTCATTTATCCGTGTTTGGCGTTGTTTAGTACTTTGGCCTTATATAGTTATTTGGTACTTGTATTACCCTAAATAAAATAGCATTTGATTTATTGTTAACATGACGACGTGTTGTTGAAACATAACAATTGATCAATAAAGTTCAAGAGAAATCGCAATCGATTTCAATTTTACTTATCATTTAACCAGTTTTCATCGAACAATCATAAATATGCAGTCTACTCATCACCAAAGCATCGAACATATTGATCCGGCTCGAAGGACCAATCAATTCTTATGTTTCAACAACACGTCGTCATTATAACAATAAATCAAATGTTATTTTATATAGGGTAATACAAGTACCAAATAACTACATAGGGTCGAAGTACTAAACAGGCGTTTAGGATTGTTGGCGTACACTTTCAAGTGATTTATGAATGAATTGCAGTATCTATCTAATGTAATTTAGTCTGAGCACTTATATGCAAATGTACAAGTGTCTGTTATTATCCCCACCATTTCCGATTCAAATCATTTATCCATATTTGGCGTATAGGATTGTTGGCTTATACTTTTGAATGATTTATGAATGTCTATTTATAGTTATTTAGTCCGAGGTTTACATTGTGTTTGATCTAATTAACAAGAAGATACATCTTTGAGGTCAAGAATGCGACTGTTTATTCTAGTAATTTCAAATTTTCTGTTTTGTTTGCGAAGATTGCCCGAGATCGTCCAAAAAGTTGAATTATTTGTATAATGTCGTTCTATGACTATGTTCCGAATTCAACTGTCAAGAGTACTGAATCTAATGATTTTCCATTCCAAAATCAACAAAATTCACTGAAAATGACAGATCTTGATAGCAGACGAAGCAAAATAACCCCAATATAAACCAACTCCGAAATTATTTGTAGTTTCATCTCATTTTCTTACCTTGAGCCGTTTGCTGAAATGGTCGAAACCCTCCCAGAACTTGCGCATCGGCTGATTGGGCACCAAGTTGCCCGTCATGCAATTGACTAGATCGTTTTTCTCGTCCCCGAAATCTCGGGCGAACGCCTCCGGATGCCAGAGGTCCGGATCGGCGTTGCGAGTGACGTCAGACACTATCACCGGCTGACCTCGCTTCCACTGATCCTGAAGAAAACAGACAAAAAAATATTGATAGCTGAGTCAAATTTGTGGAAAACACAACAATTGTCACGGGATTCGTGATATACACACATTTCTGCATGAACAAGGCTTGAAAGTTATTTGTTTGAGGATTGTACATTGGGCAGACCGGTAGAACGTTCAACCACCGCATTAAGGAACATTATGAGTTTTTATGCTAAAGAAGGCAAATTCCACATCTGTAAACCATGTATTGGAAAATCATTATTGTTTTGAAGACTATTTCGAAATTGTATTGCGTGTTTTATTGTTGAGAATTGGAGAATGAAACTTAATCATTTGGAATCATCAGAAATCAACGAACGTAAAAATTCCAACACTGTACTTCAACATTTTTCTTTTTGATAGGTGTTTGCGTTTTCTTTAAAAAAAAAAACATAAGAAGTTCGTTGATGCGGTGACTGAACGTTCTACCGGTCTGTCCAATATACACGGTATTCATTTTCTACAACAGGATGTGGACATTTTATATTCAGATTCACTAAATATTGCATAATAAGGAAGAGATTATCAATTCAACTTTTTCATACATTTTGAAGGAATAAAATAACGTATAATAATGTTACAATGCGTCAGAGTTTATAAATGCACATACACACATTCATAAAAATACCGATTTTTCAGTTTAATAAAATAATGAAAATTGGCGATTCTGACAACAAGAATATAATGAAAGTGAATTCGATTTTGTGGAAATCTTCACAATTCCCACGAAATTCTCAATAATCGCACTTTTCTATGCATTTACAACGCTAAAAAGTTATTTGTCCTAAGGTTGTATATTGGGCAGACAAGTGGAAAGTTAAACCTACGCATTCACGAACATCATATGAGTTTTTTTAAAGAAGACAAATTTCAAGAAAATCATCGTTATCATGACAATTCAGAAAGTTCACATGTTGAAAATTAAGGAATATAACTCAATCATTTAGAATCAATAGAATTCAGCAAATGCGAAAATTCCAACACTCTCCTTCAACATTTTTCTAATTAATAGGTGTAAGTCTGTTCTCTTTTGAAAAAATCCTGAGATGTTCGTTGATGCGGTGACTGAACGTTCTACCGGTCTGTCCAATATACACGGTATCCATTTTCTTCATTCATTGATATATTCAGATCCACCAAATATTGCATAATAATGTTACAATGCGTCAGAGTTTATGAATGCACATACACACAATGAAAATTGACGATTCTGAAAACAAGAATATAATGAAAGTGAATTCGATTTTGTGAAAATCTTCACAATTCCCACGAAATTCTTAATATTCGCACTGTTCTACGCATAAACAAGGCTTGAAAGTTATTTGTCCTAAAGTTGTATATTGGGCAGACAAGTAGAACGTTGAACCACCGCATTCACGAACATCATATGACTTTTTCCAAAGAGAAAACAAATTTTGTATCAGAAGAAAATCATTGTTATTATGACAATACCGAAATTTCACATGTTGAAAATTAAGGAATATAACTCAATCTTTCAGAATCAATAGAAATCAACAAACGCAAAAATGTTAACACTCTCCTTCAACAATTTTCTATTAAATGAGTGTAAGCCTGTTTTCTTTTGAAGAAATCCCAAGATGTTCGTTGATGCGGTAACGGAACGTTTTACCTGTCTGTCCAATATACATGGTGTTCTGAAAAGTGAGGTATTTCTTCAAGAGGACGTAGAATTAGATCCACCAAATATTTCATACTAACGAAGATATCACCAACAAAATATATCAATGCGAAATATCAATTCTCTGGCAATGTATCCCCACCATTCGCGATTTTCTTCATTCATCAGTGTTTGGCGTTTTGGATTGTTGTCCTATACTTTATAATGATTTTTGAATGATTCTAAGTGTGTATCTCCTGTTAATTAGCCAAAGCACTTACCCACAAAAATCTACAAGTGTTTGTTATTATCCCCACCATTCGCGAATTCGTTCAATTGGCCATTTTTTCAAAGATTTGTGAATGCATCGCAGTGTCTATCTATTGTTATTTAGTTTGTGTACTCACAAACGTACAAGCGTCTGTTATTATCCCCACCATTCGCGATTTCATTCGTTCAACCGTGTTCGAAGTTTAGAATTGTTGGCGTACTTTCCTCGACGATTTCTCACCTGGAAAATCTTGTAGTTGGCCTTGCAAAGCGGATCGCTGAGTCGCAACAGCTTGCCGTCGCACAGCCAACTGTGCGGCGTGTCGGGATAGAGCATCTTGCTCTCGGTCAAGGTCATTATGCGTATGGGCAGCTGCACTCTGCCCTTGCCCGCCCAATTGTACCGCCGTATGAAGTGCTTCAACTCGTGCTTCGGTTCGCTCGGTGCCTCCACCTACCATAAACAGATTGAATGATTGATTGATTGATTACTACTTCAATGTGGATAATCTCTGATGATGAGCAAGTGGACTATCATTACTCAATTGCCTACTTTTCAACTCCATATTTTTTTAGATTTTTTCGGTCGATTTTCAGTTGCTAAAAAATTGCCGTCATGATTTCGTAAGTAGGGGCAGACCATAGCACAGTTGCCATATGTTGAAATACGGATGGGAACTTCCGAGATATTATTTAATTGATAATTATAAAATTCTCAATTATGTGTGTTGCTAGTATTTTTAATTATAATTGGTGACTTGACAACCTTACCATGGCCAAAAGTATTGGAAAAATTAATTCATCGATACAGAAGTAATTGAATACCAATTATCAATTACCAGTTCATTCACCCATTGTTGGTTAGATCCGTCCAATAACAGGCTTCCCTGATCAAAACCAAAATACTTAACTGAGATTTTTATAATTCCAATACTTAACTCTCTTGGAATATAACAAATTATCAGATAATATAAAAAATTGCAGAAATACAATAAAATTCAAATACCATCTTAAAAAATTTATCATTTCTGAACGAAATAGATGACTTTTTTTTCTCAACTTTTGATTCATATTCGAATTGATTTTTGCTCACCAATATGAAATGATTTGTCAAAATTCAATACTTAATGTTTTCAAATATTATATTATTTATTAGTTCATTATAATTGTATAGTTTTAGATATTATTGTTAACTATACTTCCTTATACCAGAACTTGATTCTGACTGGAAGTAACATTTTCAATAAATAAATAAATAAATGAATATATCTCCAGCATGGGTATGAAATGCCAAATCTGCCGAAATCGGAAACAAATCGGGTATTCGTCCCAATCCGAATAACCAACCGTAACAATGTTGTTTATTCTTGATGACCACTAGTACATCCTTTTGAGTTCCTAGGAGCTAAAGATCAACTTTAGCTCCTAGGAGCTAAAATTCAACTTTAGCTCCTAGGAGCTAAAATTCAACTTTAGCTCCTAGGAGCTAAAATTCAACTTTAGCTCCTAGGAACTAAAATTCAACTTTAGCTCCTAGGAACTAAAATTCAACTTTAGCTCCTAGGAGCTAAAATTCAACTTTAGCTCCTAGGAACTAAAGATCAACTTTAGCTCCTAACATACCAATGTTTGTGTCAGTAATAGAAACGTCAATTCATGAGCTAATTTTGGTATCAAAATGGACGACTAGTGTGACGGTTGCAGAAAAAGAAAAAATAATAATCACCTTTTGCGGTACGCTGTCCTCGATCACGCTCGATATGACGTCATCCAGATCGGCCGGCTTCGTCGGCGCCGGCAACTTCTTCCTCGTCTCCGCCCCCTTGGAGGAGGCGGAGGCGGCGGCGGCGGCCACGACGGGCGATCCGGCCCTGGACGACGACGAGCCGTTCGGCTTGTGCGACGGTCGGATGAGGAGTTCGCGCAACGTGGAAAAGTTGCCGCCCTCGCCTTCGTCTTCGTCTTCTTCGCTGCTCGAGCCCAAGGGGGGCTTCTTTTTTTCCTCGCCGTCTTGCGATCGAGTGTCTGGAAACAATTATTGACGATGTACAGGGTGGCTGGAATTCGAGCCACATCATTGGGATCTCGTGAACCGTAAGAGATACAGGGTCGGTTGAATCATGGCAAAGTTGCGCAATTTGATGCGTAACAAAATGCCGTTCTGCAACTTGGAAGATTCCGAATACTCCCGGAGATATCCGAAAAAAATCGCAATTTCATAAAACTGTTTTTATTTTTTTCTGGCGTTATTTGAAGAAATTGATCGATATAAATGACACTTTATCATAGCCACTTTTTCTTGCCTACAAGATGGCGTTTTCAAATTCGAAATCTGACGTTTCATCTTCCAGAAACCATCATCAACTTATTTTTTTTAAATACGGACCTGGAATTTTCATTTCATTTTTTGTTGCCTTTGGATAGCCCAAAAACTATGAGCTATCAAAAATTTCGATTTCCGAATTTTTCGATGACAAAAATTGACAGTTTCTTTTTTTTTCAGAATATCACCGAAAATGGAAAAGGTGGCCTTGATTTTAGAGATGACAAGTCACAACCACTCGTCAAAGTATGACAGTTCAATGTTTTGAATAATTTTTGGGATCAAAAATGATAGTTTTTCAATTCAGAAAAACGTGATATGATCCGAATTTATTAGTGTTAATAGAAACTCGCACATGGCACAACCGCATTACACGTATTTCAATAATTTGGACAAAAAACAAAAAAAAAAAACAACAATGCAAAAATCTGCATAATAGAAAAATAAAAAGTCAAAACAGAGAACAATGAGAACAAGAAATTTGAAAGATTAGAATAAACAGAGAGAATGAAAATACTAGGAAAAACTCACCGTCCTCGTCTTTAATCTCCTTTTTGACCCCATTAACTTTATCGCCCAGTATCGATCGGACGATCTCTTTAGCGTGCAAATTATTCGTCTTTTGCGTGAACTCCTTGATCATGGGACAACCGCAAAACTGTTCGATGTTCCACAATTCACGAGTTTCATGCACCTGAAAAAGAACAAAAAAAAAATTCAACAAATTCTTTTTGAAGCCAATCATGGAATAATTCTGTTATATTCATCAAAATTGTTATTTACCATTCTGCCGAGCTTGTTCAGCGAATCGCCAGCGATTATCTGAGTCAGCATGAGCTTTTCCTGTTCGTGAGCTTGCCGATTGGTGCAAAGCAGCCAGGAGAATTCGTCCCTGTCTTTGCCTGGCTCGCCCCACATCTTCATTGCGCCCTTTTTCCGGCTCTGAAAAATATCCGAATTGATTGAACGAGAACCGAATAGTTGTATATTATTACGTAGCTAGAGTGAACAAAAAAACTCGAGATGTTCGTTGATGCGTTGACTGAACGATCTACCTGTCTGCCCAATATACGACGAGCTCACACTATGTCTATATCGAGAATCAATCGAGAGAAATACATGAAAATATGCATGCTTATATTTTACAATATGCTCTCTCCATTTAAAATGGTTTCAGCAATGCAGTGTTGCCGCATCTATCAAAAAGTAGCAACAACTTTGTTATTTCAGATAGAATACCCTGTATTTTATTGTATTTTTAGATTCTCCCTGCAAAGCTTATTCCATCGATAAATCAAACTTGGGGTATATCGGAAATGATTACAGAGATATAGGGTGTTCAAAATCTAGATTTTTCAATTTTAGGATTTTTTTGTGTTGAAACCATTTATTATCGGCCAAAACGGCTCACATGTCCCTATATCAACTTTTGATTTACTATTTACTGATATTTTATAGAAACAGATACAGGGTGATCAGAATTCTGAATCTTGAACCACCCTGTATCTGTTCCGATTAAATATCAGTGTAAATAGTGAATCAAAAGTTGAGATAGGGACATGTGAGCCGTTTTGACCGATAATAGTTTCGACACCAACAAATTCTAAAGTTGAAAAATCTCAATTTTGAACACCCTATATCTCTGTAATCATTTTCGATAGACCCCAAGTGTGATGTATCGATGAAATCAACTCTTCAGGGAGAATCTAAAAATGCAATGAAATACAGGGTATTCCGTTTGAAATAACAAAGTTGTTGCTACTTTTTGATAGAAGCGGCAACACTGCATTGCTGAAAATATTTTAAATGGAGAGAGCGTATTCTAAAATATAAGCATGCACATTTTCATGGATTTCTCCTCACTGATTCTCGATATAAAGATAGTGTAAGTCCGTCGTGACATACCCTGTATACCTTAGAACAAGACCCACAGTTCAGTTTGTATACTCTGTATACTGCTGAAGCAGAAAAAAATTAACAGTTGAGCATTGTAGATTTTATAAGGGTGCTCTGGTGGTAAGTCGGCACAATACATTGGTCAGACAGGCAGAACGTTCAACCAACGCAATCACGATCATGTGTTCGTTGATGCGGTGACTGAACGATCTACCTGTCTGCCCAATATATACCTTAGAAAAACCACCGCAATCACGAACAATCTTGTGAAATTTTATATTTTCCAATACACCAATATTTTTCTCCTTCAAACATTATTCAAACAAGGTGTAATAAATATCAATTACATTTTTCACAAAGATTTCTTCAAGAAAATGTTCGAATAGAGTGACATTTTGGATTCAATCATCATATAATTACGTAGCTAGCGTGAAAAAAAAAATCATGATGTTCGTTGATGCGGTGACTGAACGATCTACCTGTCTGCCCAATATATACCTTAGAACAACCACCGCAATCACGAACAATCATGTGAAATTTTATATTTTCCAATAAACCAATATTTTTTTTCTTCAAACATTATTCAAACAAGGTGTCACTAACTATCAATTGAATTTTTCACATAGATTTCTACAAGAAAATGTTCCAATAGAGTGACATTTTGGATTCAATCATCATATAATACGTAGCTAGTGTGAAAAAAACTCATGATGTTCGTTGATGCGGTGACCGAACGATTTACCTGTCTGCCCAATATATACCTTAGTCAACCACCGCAATCACGAACAATCATGTGAAATTTTATATTTTTCAATAAACTAATATTTTTCTCCTTCAAACATTATTCAAACAGGGTGTCACTATCAATTTAATTTTTCAAATTGATACCAGAACATTTTCAAATAGAGTGAGATTTTGGATCCAATCATCTAATGTGTCTCTACTATAAAGAGACAGAATCTCAAAAAAAATCTAGAGAAACGACCAATATAGATAGCTCACCTTGTAACAGTCTATACAAACGACGAATCCACATTTGCCGCACGCCCAATGACAGTTGAACAACGTCGTCTCGCAAACGTCGCACATCTCTCGAACACCCTGTACCACCCGTTTCCAAGCGACTGTTTTATCTAAAAGAAAAAAAAATGCATGAATCATTTGATCAACAACAAACAGAAATGAGTGATCTTATTTGCGAGAAAAAAATGCGTGAGTAATTTTCCAAGTAAAAAAAATTCATGAGTGATTTTATCTGTAGATTGTTTTATTAGGATCAAAAGTGCCACTTTGTTTGACAAGCAAAATTTGCGACGTCTAGTAGTACATCCTTTTTAGTTCCTAGGAGCTAAAGTTCAACTTTAGTTCCTAGGAGCTGAAGTTCAACTTTAGCTCCTAGAAACTGAATGTGTTGGCTAGCAACATACCTATTTTTGTGTCAGTAATAAAAACGTCAATTCAAGTGCTAATTTTGGTATTAAAATGGATGACTTCAGAAAAACAAATGTAGGGGTGGACAAAATGCGAGAAATTTTCTCGGAGACAATTATTTATTTGGAGGTCGGGCGACTCACCTTCGGACATGTGTTCGGTGTTGGCCTCTTTTTCTTGCAAGAACAAGTCGCAAAAATGATCGGCGACTTGTTTGAGCAGAAAACGGGACGTTTCCAAGTCTAAATCGGCCGGTGGATGGTCGGCGTTGGGTAGCCACAATTTCAAGTCCTCCTGAAAACAAAAAAAGGAAAAAAGTTGTTATTTCAATAATTCAATCTAATAAAAATATGAAACTCAGAAAAACCGGTAGTATACAATGACATTCACCATGAATACCGATAAATTTACCCACTGTGACGCCACTGGAAATATTATTTCGAATCTAATTGCACTAGAAGAAGCTCCATATTACTATTAACAAAAACACAACGTTTCATTGAAATTGATGAAAAGACAATTGAGAAATGGATAGAAAAAAGATTTTTCATGGAAATATCAACACCCTGTATCTCGAAAACGAAGCAAGTTAGGACACATGTTAGTATGGACTGTATTCCCTAAAATATCAAAAAGAATCGCCCCTTGGATTTATTCGGTATTAAATACATACACATCACATACACCCCACCCCGTATACACAGAATTTTTCGGTATTATTCACATACACATCGCATACACCCCACCCCGTATACACACCTCCAACGCGTCCTTGTGTGGATCGGAAAACCCGGCGATGGCGAGCTGCCCGTTCTTCGTGTACCTCAACCGCCGGAAAGCGTAGAACCGACAAAAAATGTTCGGCACGTTCTTCGATCGCTGGTTCACCGTCCATCGGCATTCGCGACACTTCGCCAATTTCGGCGCCACCTCGAAACACGTGCCGTACTGCAGGAAACTCTCCCCCGTTTTCTTCAGCTGCCCGACGGGCGGTTTGCGCGAGGGGTCACGAGGGGGCGGCGGCGCGTCGTCTTTGCTCTTCTTCGGACGTGGCTCCTCGCCTATACACCAAAAGAATCAATGTTTCAATTATGTTTCATTTAATCATCAAAATGATTCAAACATGTTTCAGAGATGTTCCACCCATGTTTCAGAGATGTTGCAACCATGTTTCAGAGATGTTGCAAACACGTTTCAGATATAAACATGTTTCAGAGATAGATTTCCAACATTTTTCAGATGTTTCAAACTTGTTTCAGAGATGTTGCAACCATGTTTCAGAGATGTTGCAAACATGTTTCAGAGATGTTGCAACCATGTTTCAGAGATGTTGCAAACATGTTTCAGAGATGTTTTAGAGATCGTATAATCATGTTTCAAACATTTATCAGATGTTTCAAACTTGTTTCAGAGATGTTGCAACCATGTTTCAGAGATGTTGCAACCATGTTTCAGAGATGTTGCAAACATGTTTCAGATATAAACATGTTTCAGAGATAGATGTTTCAAACATTTTTGAGATGTTTCAAACTTGTTTCAGATGTTTCACAGATGTTTCAAACACGCATCATGTATGTTTCAGGGGAGAAAAAGCTCCCGCGTCTTACCTTTATCGTTTTTTGAACCGCCCTTGGGTTTCCTGCCGCGCTTGCGCTGCTCCTTTCCCGTTCCTGCGGATTTTTTCGTCGGCGCTGAAGCGCTCGCTCCCGAATCGCTGTCCTTTTCGCTGCCGCTCTCTTTGTCGCTGTCGCTGCCGCTTTCGCTCGCTACCGCTACAGACTGCAATTTCTTTTTATTCATTCAAAATGAAAACATTGTTTATTGATTTGTTTTTATTTTCAAGTGAGGAGCTGATGAAAATATATACCTGCGGGCCGCTTTTGCGTTTTTTTTCTTCCACTGCCTTCTTGGCCGATGTTCCTCCTTTCTTCCTTTTCACTTTGGGCGGTTTTCTTTTCGGAGGTGATTTTCTACCTCGCTCCTGATCGCTGCTCGATGAATCGTCGTTTTTCGCATCGCCGTTCACAGTAGCTTCTTTTGCCGCTTTTCTACAACGAAACACACACACACACACCCTCACACGCATTTTCCAAGACTGACAAGAAAATAGTTACCTGTTGGCCGCTTTGCTGGAGAAATGCTTAGTCTTGTTGATACTATTCACCGCCATCGAGCCTATCGAATGTATCGAATTCACCGGATTCTCTTTCGTCACCGTCGCCGCGTTCGCATTGGTCGCAGCAGCGGCAGTAGGCGTGGCACCTGTTGCTCCAGCAGCACCTGGTAGAATAATAGAAATTATATTGAAGAACCGTTCGTCCAAAGGTTTTTGGGAATATGGTATGATCCACAACGGCTTATTTGGTTTTTTAGATGATGTTTATTCATATCGGTGGTTAGAGATATTGTGGAAGGATTACACTTCAATCTTTATCACTCTAATTGATCTAACCTAACCAAAGCATTTGACTGTGTATCTCAAAACTTTTGGTTGAAAAATTAGAATTTTATGGAGTAAGAGGAATCCCTCTCAATCAGTATCAATTCTCTGGCAATTATACCGCAGCTATCCCCACCATTCGCGATTTCATTCGTTTATCCGTGTTTGGATTAGGATTGTTGGCGTATTCTTTTCAACGATTCTCGAATGAATCGCGTTATCTATCTATTGTTATTTAGTCTGAGAAATGTATGAGGGTCTGATATTATCCCCACCATTGGCGATTTCATTCTTTCAACCGTGTTTGGCGTAAATTGTTCTATGATTCACAAATACCTGTCGCTCCGAGGTCGGCCTTGATGTTCAAGGGCAAGGTCAAGCAGCTGCCCGAACCCACCACGCCGGTGGTGTCTTCGACGTCTTCGCCAGTGTGCCTCTGCAGCCACGCCTTCTTCAGGTGCCTGACGGGGTAGCTGGCGCTGGAGGGGTTCTTTTGCGGACCGGGGCTGTTCGATTTCTCCGAGTCCAAGACGCTCGGGTTGACTTTGGCGGGGGTGCCCGGTGATTCTAGAGGAAACAAACATCGTTCTTTTTTCACCTTTCAACATTCCATTCCATAAACATAATAACAACTAGAATGTCTATAATTGAAAATGGATCCCTATTTCCCTTGGTCATGCGTGAACGGCTGGACCGATTTCAGTAATTGTTTTTTGTCGTTGTATTATTTTCAGAACGTTCTTAAGAAAGGGAAAATTGAGCTACTCAAGATGGCGGATCCGATATGGCGGACGTTTTGTAATTTTGATTCGATTATATTCAAAATTTGTATCTAAGAATGTTCGGGGTCGGAAATTATGATTCTTTCGTCAAAATTGAAACATTCAAGATGGCAGACGACTTTTGTAATAATTTCAAACTTGGTATGTGGAGGTTTTTGGGTTCGGAGATCATAATTCTTCTGTAAAATTTTGGAAATTCAAGATGGAAGATCCAATATGCCGGACACGTTCTGTAAATATGTTCCGATTCTATTCAGAATTGGTATCTGGAGGTTTTTGAGGTCGGAGATTATGATTTTGCTTCATCAAAATTTTAAAATACCAGATGGCGGATCCAATATGGTGGACGACTTTTGTATTTATGATCCGATTCTGTTCAAAATTGGTATCTGGGAGTTATCGGGATCGCAGATTATGATTCTTTCGTCATATTTTGGAAATTCAAGATATTAGATCTCTTACGACCCTGGCAATCAATCCCAGCTACCTGCTACGGAAGTAAATAAACCGTATTTCTTGGAATAGAAATGAAGTGGATCGACGGCTATTGAGATGACTCGAGAAGATTATCGACCTGTTCACGATATTTCGAGTGGAATCTAGACGTTTTATTAGGTAGTATAAATAGTTGTTGTTAGGGACAGGAAGGGAAGTCTTTATTTGGAAGCGTTATAATAACGATCGAAGAAGTGTTGTGAATCGGAAGTGTTTAGTACGAGTATTGTAATTATTGTATAGTAGTGTTCAGAATAAATTATTTTAAGTATTATACCGAGTGTTAAGTTATTACGGACCCAGAGTAAAATCGTAACAGATCCAATATGGCGAACTAGTTTTTCAATTATGTTCCGATTCTATTTGATATTTTTATCTGGGAGATTTTGGAGTCGGAGATTAGGATTCTTTCGTCAAAATTAGGGAATTCAAGATGAAGGATCCGATATGGTGGACGAGCTTCGAGATCATGATCCGATTCTATTTTAAATTATTGGTAATGAGGAATTTTGGGGTTGTAGGTATTGATTCTTTCGTCAAAATCGAGAAATTCAAAGCGACGGATCCAATAATCATGCTCCGATTTTATTCAAAATTTGTATCTAGTGGTTTTTGGAGTCGGACAAGCTTTATAATAGTGTTTTGAAAAAAACACACTTCCATAAATATACAAACTACAAAGAAGTAGAAAATAAATAGTAGTTTAGAAACAAATAGTAGGTAGTTTAGAAGACTAAAGAGATTAACGAAATTAAAAAGAAGTACACAATAAATGGTAGTTTGAGAAACTGAGAAAATACGTTTTTATGGTTAGACAAAAAAGAAGTACAAAATAATATAATAAAAGTGTGTTATATTCAACTGGAAAATATATTCTAGAAATACTGTAAACAGCAAAGCAAAGTTTGCCGGGTTCGCTAGCAACAATATAAAGCCAAGCTAACAATCTACAATTAAACCAGCTCACCTTCCGCCGGTTGAGGCGTAACACTAAGAGTAGGCGTGGTCGCCGCGCTCAAGGGGGCGGGGCTCCCGCCCAACGGCGCCGTCGCGGTAGGCGTGGCCGGCTTCGGACTGGTCGACTCCGGCCGCCCGCCCACCAACTCCACCACGCCCCCCACCTCAGGGGGCGGAGTCTGCCTCGAAATCAACGCCGTCGGCGGCGTCGTCCGGAAAGCGACGGCCGCATTCACCACCGTCGTGATGGTCGTCGCGGCGCTCGCGATCAGCGGACTCGGTTCGCTCACTCGCGCCAATTGGGGAGGATTGTGGGCGGAGACGGAGGCGGAGTGGGCGGAGACAGAGACGAATTGGGTGGTCGCTGGAGGCGTATCGATCCGCCTCTTTTTCACTTCGAGACAAACGGGGCTGCCCGGATTGGCACCTACGCCCAGTTGGGAGATGGGCGTGCTGGATTTGCGTTTTGGCGAGGAGGGGTGGTTCTCGAATTTGGCGGAGCTGACGCCCAAGTCGAGTGGCTGCGTTTGCACCTTCAAGAAAACAAAAATCAGATAAATAAATAAATAATCAACGAGAAGAGAACTTAAATTATGACACTTGTTCAAAGTACCAACTAATATTTTGATAGAAATTGATAGTCATCGAGTCTGGGCGCCTATGGGAGTAATCGGAAGTTCTGGGAACCATCGGAAGTCCTGGGAGCCATCGGACGTCATAGGAGACATCGGAAATCTGAGGAATCATTGGAAGTTATTGGAAGTCTCGGAAGTCATTGGAAATATCAGAGGTATTAGGAGTCATTGCCAGTCATTGGAAGTATTGGGAGTCCTGGAAGTCATTAAAATACTCTGGAAGTCATCAGAAACTTCATAAGTAATCGGAATTCTCCGGACAAGCCTTTGCGTGAATGGTTTTATCTCAGAAGAGACCAGTCCCTTCATGAAATCTCAGATAAGGCAATGTTTGTATACATGTGAGAATTCAAGGAGGCCTTGAAAGTCATTGGAAGTCTGTGACAGTCATTGGAAGTATGTAACAGTCATTGGAAGTATGTAACAGTCATTGGAAGTATGTAACAGTCATTGGAAGTATGTAACAGTCATTGGAAGTATGTAACAGTCATTGGAAGTCTGTGACAGTCATTGGAAGTATGTCACAGTCATTGGAAGTATGTAACAGTCATTGGAAGTATGTAGCAGTAATTGAAAGTATGTGACAGTCATTGAAAGTATGTGACAGTCATTGGAAGTATGTAACAGTCATTGGAAGTATGTAAGTTATTGGAAGTCTGTGACAGTCATTGGAAGTCTGTGACCGTTATTGGAAGTCTGTAACAGTTATTGGAAGTCTGTAACAGTTATTGGAAGTCTGTGACAGTCAGTGGAAGTCTGTGACAGTCATTGGAAGTATGTAACAGTCATTGGAAGTCTGTGACAGTCATTGGAAGTCTGTGAAAATCATTGTGAGTCTGTGAAAGTTATCGGAAATCTGTGGAAGTCATGGGTTGTTAAAAAAATCATTGAACTTCTCTACAAGTCATTGGACGTCTCTAGGTGTCATTTGGCGACTGTGGATGATACTTGGCATCTCAAGAACCCGGTGAGACTCTTTGAGATTCACTGAAATCGTACATTCAAAACGCAAATCATGTAATCGATACTGTGAATGATAAAATCACTTTCCAGAAAAACAGCTGAAAAACAAAACTGACAAACGTTTCTCTCGCTCACCTGTTGCCCGGCCACCAAACTCTGCGCGAACCCGCCATGCCCTCTACCACCACCACCTCCTCCTCCGACCCCCACCCCCGCCAAAGGGGCGGACGTCGCCGTGGGCGGGGACGTCCCGGCCACGCCCACGCCAACCAACTTGACGGACAGCCCGGCGGGCGGGGCGTACCTGTCCATCAGCAGGCCGCTAGTGGTGGAGGCGCGGCTGCTGTGGGCGGGCGGGGGCGGACACGTCAGCTGCGACGGGGCGGCGTTGTGGGGCAGATGGTACTGCGACACCTGCACGAAAGAAGGAAGAATTGAAGATTGGACTGCTACACGGTCAATTATTGTATTTCCAAATAGTCATTTGGATTTCAAAAAGCATAATCTTTATTTCAAATTGAGTCAAATCAATTCCAGAAGTCTCGAATGTACTTGAAAATTAGCAATTCAATTTCAAAATGTGTCAATTGTGTCAATTGTGTTTCAGATTAGTCAGTTTGAATTCAAAAAACATCAAATGTATTTCAAATTCAACAAATTAATTTCAAAAACTAACACTTCAAATTTCAAAGTCATTTGTATTTCAAAACATAGCAAATGTATTTGATAATGCATCAGTTTGAATTCAAGACCGAAAAAATACAGTTAAAGGTTAGATTGACGACATTTTCGTTCAGCTGCTTCTGGTTTCTATCAATGTCATCATAAAAAAAATGATTAGCTTCAGACACAAAAACTCCACTTTGAGATATTATGGACTTGTTGCGAAATTTTAAAGTTAAGCTGAATATTGTTGCAACAAACTTAGTTTGTGATTCCCTAAAAAAAAAATCCAAGCTGATTGCACAAATATGCTTGAATTTGAACAAAGGTATGCACAACTGATTTTGTTATGATCAATAATTTATGAAAGTGTTTAGGAATATAAAAGAAATTACAAATTGGGAAGTTAACAAACAAAATTTGAAATCTAAAATGTCTTAGAAGGTCATGTTTTGGTAATAAGGCATAACTTTCAATTGTGAACAACTTTTCTCTATAATATTTTGCTGAATTTTCTGAAATAAAGGTACTTTGCTCTTGACCAATTTTGAGAATTTCTCATCTACCCTGTATGCTGTTGGACTTGCAACCATCCCAAGTGCACCTAAAATGATTACAGAACATGCACCAACCTTCGGCACTATCTGTAATTTGGTTGTGCAATTCACTAAAAAGATTCCCATATCTTGCATACTTAAATGACCACCCTGTATATACCCGAAAACACACTAAAACTTTTCGCATGAACTATTCTACAGTTTGGCTTTTTTTCCACTAATTTCAGTGGATTCTTATCAGGATCTGACGACTCACACAGTGCTTCAGTTTTATTTTCAATGGGCCACCCTGTAAATAAAACAGTGTATGGTGTACTTCACCTGTTGATAGGGCGACGACGAGATCGACGGCACCGGCTTATTGGCCGTCAGCTGGACGGGCGTGGCCCCCGTCGCTCCCGATAGGTCGTGATGGACGAGGGGGCGTGTCACCGGCACGACGGACACGCCTCCCAACGGCGGTTTGCCGAAGATCTGGTGGGGGGCGGGGCTGCTCACCTTCGATTTGGCGTTGGGCGGTGCGGTGGGCGTGGCCGACATCGTCGACATGGTGTACGTCGAGGTGGTGTAGGGATAATTCGTTTTTGCTGCAAGGAATAACGGAGGATTGGAATATTAATTTGTAAAACGAGACAGGGGCGTACTTCTTATTATTTTCCCGAAGGTTTCCAACAATAATTAAAAAATGTCGAGAAATTCCTCCGATACCACTCAATGGATAATACAGAGTGTGGGCCAACCAAAACAAAACATATTAAATAGCTTTCGGGAAAACATTAATCGATTTTCAATTTATCAAACACTCTATTATTGTCCTGTTATCCCCCCTTCCTTTATCTCGCTGACCAATAAGATTTGAATATGAAACGGAACGTACCATGTATGGCACAGTATCAAAATAGTTATTTGTTTTACTAGGCAGAAAAGTACAAGATTTGATGCCGCAGCTGGTGTTTCATAGCCTACGCGTAGCCATTTGGGTAGAATTAAAGAATCTCGAATTTTCATCTCAAAGACTCTTACAGGACGAATTTCCAAAACTCACCGGCATGATAGACCATCGCTTGTGCTTCAGCCCCGCTCCTGTACCGCATCTCATTCGCGTGATGCTGCTGCTGCTGCAAATGCTGCTGCTGTTGCTGCAAATGCTGCTGCTGCTGCTGCGGATGCGGGCTGTGCCGTTGCTGCAGCTGGTGCGGGCTGGAGGTCTGCGGCTGCGGCCTGTGCTGCTGCTGTTGTTGCTGCTGCAGCTGCACCTTGGCCATGTTCTGCGCCTCCACCTGGTGCTGGTGGTGGGAAGTGGGAGCGACGTGCGCTAGATGATGGGGGGACTGGGTGGGGCTCCTGTACTCGTACATGCCTGGAAACAAAAGAGAAAAATTAATAGATAGCAGTTCGATAAAAATGAAAAATGTGTATAGATTCGGAATCCTAATGACATTTTACTTTGGACTAGATGCAAAATTCGCAATATTTGACAAAAATATGCGAAGATTTGGAATCGATTATTGCTCATTTATCACTTATTTACTGCTCATTCTTCACTAAATTGCTCATTGTCACCAATTTATTGAAATGACGAATAAATTGTCGGTTCAGTTATTTTCATGAAGCTAGCAGAACCACTCCTTATTTATCCATATTTTCTGGGTGAAGTAGTTATCCCGCCTCTTCAGTCCAGCCCCTCCCTTCCACCTTACTCCAAACCACGTGACCCGACTAGCCAATCAGAGATCAGCATTTGGTTGGAAGTCACGCGCACTAACCACATCATGGAACCCCACGGAAATGTCACGGGAAACCATGAAAGTGTTCCGTGAAGTTTCCGTGGTGATAGGTGCCATTTCCGTGGTGATAGGTGCCATTTCCGTGGTGATAGGTGACATTTCCGTGGTGTTCCGTGACGTTTCCGTGACATTTCCATGGTGCTCCGAGACGTTTCCGTGGCGCTTCCGTAAAGTTTCCGTGGCGCTTCCAATATCAATATGTTGCTGAAATGGAACTCACCCTTGTTTTGTCCAGTCTGGCTCTGGTAATGTCCCATCATCTCATTCCTCAATTTCGGACTGGGCGAATGCGCCATGGACACGCGCGGTTGGTCCAAATGATGGGGATTCTTCGTGTCGTGCTTCACAATCACCGAGTTCTTCATTTCCCCCACCATGGCTCCCCCATCACCCCTAAAAAAAACAACATCGTATGGTCAATACATCGTCATAACCTCAGTAACTAGTTGGAAACAGAAAAAATCATATTCTGAGGACATCTGTGGAACCGCTGCCAATCAATAATTTGGGAGTTTTTTTCGTATAAAACTTCTTATTCAACTCGGTATAAATACCAACCATCATAACATAAATGTATAATCATTTTATGACTATTATTGTTCACCCTTTATATACACAGTTGGTAATGTTGTCATGAAAACCATAGAATTTGTGTTATACAATTGAGAAATTAATAAAGAACCTTTAGTGTCAGACTGAAATATCAAAAAGTATATAATTTCGTATATAATTTCATTATTAAACCACTACACTAGCTGTATAAAGAACCAGCTGCATATTTCTGTTGCTGTCAACGGCAAAAATCCTACATGGTCCTTCGAGTCGGATAAAGTAGGATTTTGTGACTGTTTATATGAAAGGTGAACAACAATAGTGATAAAATTATACAATAAGAGTACACTCATTGCAACTTAATTGGTCAGTAACTTATTATTATAAAACATATTTAGTATTAAGGTACATGACAAAATAAAAAACTGAATTTTACGAGGATTAACGTGGCGGCATCGCAAAGTTTCGTAGTACACGAGCAATAATCATTGTAAGAAATGTCCTTCATCGTTTTTGTTGTTATTGAAACATTTTCCGGCTGTTTTGTGATCAGTTTTTGCTGTTTCAATAACTCATTTGATATTAAAAATCAAAGGAAGACTATTTTGTGAATAAATATGGTGGCCGTCTTGTTTGCGGGCTTGCTTTTGTTGATGAAAACCATGTTCAAGATATTGAAAATACTGAGGAACCTTACTGAGACGTTACAAAATAACTTATTATTATGTTACAACATCCACACATTTATAGAAATCCCGATCTATAAGATATATGAAATAGCTAGCAGAGTTATCCCCACCATTCACGATTTCGTGTTTGACGCTCGGGATTGTTAGAATGATATACTTTCTAATGATTCATGGATGAATCGCGATTCTATCGTTATTTAGTCTGATCACTCACTCACAAATGTACAAGTGTCTGTTATTATCCCCACCACTAGCGATTTCATTCATTTAACCGTTATTGGCGTCGAGGATTGCTGGCGTATACTTTTTGATGATTTAAGAAATTCATCATGATTTTATGAATGACCTATGAATCTGCAGCTATCCCCACCATTCACGATTTCATGTTCGACGTTTAGGATTATTGGCGTATACTTTTAAAAGATCCATGAATGAATCGCGGAATCTATCTATTCGTATTTAGTCTGAGCCGCATCATACTTCCTCTTCATAGTTGAACTATCATATCATACAGAGTGACCCAACTGAAAGCGGGGCGACTCTCATAAACATTTTATTTATGAAGCGATATTCACGAAATATTTTTTAAAATGTATAGGGGGAGAAAGGTGTATTTTGAAGCCGAGCGGCGTCCATTTGTTTTCAAAACCAAAGCCTACTAGATCACTTTCAGGCACTGGAAAATCCAGAATCCATCGTCCTCTGAAATAGACCGAATAGAGAGTTCTGCGGTCATATTTTACAGGGTCTGACAAAAAAATAAACGATGCGAATGTCAAAGAAAAATCTCACCTGTCCATGGATTTGGTAACGACCAAGCCTCCGCCACCTTGCTGCTGCTGCTGCTGACCACTCTTGTGCATCTCCGTCTTCATCTTTGGCTCGAAATAAGCATTTTGCTGCTGCTGCACCGACGCGTAACCGTACACGTGTTGCATCTCGTTTTTGGAAGGTTGGCCCGCCTGCTGCTGCTGTGGCACGCCGTGCGACGCCATTTTATCGGGGGCGGGCTTGCAGGCGGGCCCGCCCACTCGGCTGTGAGCGGGCGGGGGCGGGTATTCCGTTTTGCCGGGCACGCTCGCCGGCCTTTGGACCTGGAATTCCGATTTTCGAAGGTTTATACAGAATTCTTCAACCGGCTTTCGTCCAATGACTTCAAAATATTTTTGCATTGACCCCATGACGTTTTTTAATGACTGCCAAAGATAACTTTCACTTCAATAATTTATGAATACATCCATGACTTCACGTGCAGCATCTCCAATGTACTTCAAATTGCTTCCAGAAACTTACAATAGCTTCAAGAGACTTCCACAAAGACTTACAAGTTATTTCAATGACGTCACGATAATTCTATATATTTCCGAAAACTATTTCAATGATGCCTTCAATAGTTTCAAAGGATCAAAAATAGTTACATACCACTATTTTCAAAGACTTTAGATGTAGTTGCTTTCGAAGACATCCAATTATTTCCAGTAATCAGTAATGACGTCAAAGTTCTTCAAAGACTTCCAAATGAATTCCAAAGCCCCCCAACAATCACTTGCAAGGATTTTTATGAAGCTTATCGAGAATCTCAAAGACATTCAATGACTTGGGATATTGAAAAACGAGCAGTATTTACCAAGATATTAGAAAACAAATATACTTACAGCGCCATAATAACCTCTGTGGTCTTTACTATCTCTAACAGTCATATGCCTCTGTTGTTCCCTGTGATGAATTTCTTCCACTCTTTTTCTGTCATCCTCCGAAAGGCTCGACGTCCTAGATTGCGGCGGCCTATTCGTCGTAGGATTCCACTGTTCTCTCTACAAAAAAGAAAGAAAAAAAAAGTAATATTTTTCCCCACAAAATTCTTGCAACCGTTTGAGATACATGTTTTCATCGAAATCAGTTTAGTTTTGACATCATGGTACTTCAAGAGTAGCAAATACTAAAAATAACATCATGTGAAAGAGGATAGCAGAGCAGAATCATTGCATGAGAAATTCACACTTCTTACCTTTTGGTGAACCGCCCTCAAAGACTTCTCAAAGTGATTGTGTAAGGCTAGCTCCAGTTCTTTTTCTTGTCTCTCCCTCTCTATTTTTTCTTTATGTTCTTGTTTTTCTCTCTCCATCCTTTCTTTCTCCTTTTGCTGTTTCTCCGCCATTTCCTGATTCTGCCTTTCCCTGAAATATCAAGAAACCGTTGAAATCGGGAAAGCCACACCCACCTGTAAGATTGAGTAAGAAAGTCACGCCCACCTGTAAGATTACGTATACAAGTAACGCCCACTTGTGAGATTCGTTCTTGAAAAACCACGAGATTTTTGACAAATAATTGAGATACTTCAAGAAGTTATGAATGAGAACCACGTTCCTTCATGATTCATTAGGAAACCACTCCTACTTGTTGAGTGATTTGAATACAACCCACACCTACTTGTGAGCCTATAGGCTGTTAAAATATATCCACACCCCTTTTTGGGAATTGATGAGTTGGCTCCATAGACGAATATACAGGGTGATTAATTAAGAATGGGAAATCTCTGAACTACAGATAGTAAACACCAAAATATGAAGATTTAACCCAATATGCTTCATATAAATGTTCAAGGGAAAATTTTATTTCACATTTTTCCTTAACTTTGGTCACGCATTTACTTTGAAATTCTGTTTGTTGTTGGCGTTGCTAGTTATTGTTACCGTTGATTACTCTTATTTTTCCACTATCACTTCCCTTGCTTTATAATTCAACATTATTGAAATGTTATTAGTAAAACATAAATCTCTTCAAGAGTGAATAACACAAAAACCGTTAGAGCTAGACAATTTGAAAAAGAGTAAATTTTTTATGAAAAATTGAAGTAAATGATAAATTTTAACATAAAATCTCCCACAAGAATACCCTGTATCTCCTGAACCACAGCATTCTTACCAGGCATGTTGGGCTGAATCTTAATATTTCAGTGTTTACTACCTCTGATTCAAAGATTTTCCATTCTTAATGAATCACCCTGTATAAAGGAAAAAACGTTTTCAGATGTTTACGAATTTTACGATAAAGAGGTAGTCAACATGTGTACAATTGAAATTTTTAGCTCAAAACCCCGGCCTACTTATGAGGAAGCCACACCCACTTGTAGGTCGTGGGCGTTTCGAATATAGCCACCTCCCATTCTGAACACCCACGGAAAAGTCACAACCAAACCAAACCGGATCATCTCACCTGAACATCCTCTCCTGCCTATCTCTATCCTGCATCGCCATCGCAGCGCGCTCTCTCTCCGCCATCATCTCTTCCGCGCCGGCGTGGCCCTGCCCCTGCTGCTGCCCAACCGACGCAGCGGTGGCATTCAACAGGTGGGCGGGCACCCCGTACGGCGACGCCCTATTGGTCGCCTTCCACAGCATGTCGGCGCTGAACTGCGCCGGATGGTAGAGGGGGGCGTGGCCCAAGTGCGGATGGTGCGGCACGTGCGGTGGACCGATCAGCGAGGGAGGCGGGGGCGGGGCGACGGGGTACACGCCCATAGAGGCGGCGGAGGAGGAGGTGGGGGGCGGACCGCCGGCTCCTCCGCCACTGCTAGCGCCTCCTGACGACGGGCTGCTCGAGTGCGACATCAAGAGGGTCTGGAACAAAGAGGCCTGCAAACGTTATTTAAACGGTTTCGACGAAGTCGGTACAGGGTGGTACAGTTTGGCAGCACATTACTCGATGAACAATAAAACGAATAAGTCTAGGCATCGTGGATATTCAATTGATGATACAAACGGCAAGGTTTTTATCCGTTCAATCAGAAATAGTTATGATCAATAGAATTTCGACTTGGCCGTGTAAGTATGGCCAATTTGAACGTTCGTCGAAATATAGAATAGAAATTGAATACACTTCAGAAACTAAAAGTTGTAATAGAACGTTCTTTCTTGAAATTCATACACATAAGTCCATTTTTAGCAATGAATCTGAAAAAATTTAACTTTTGACGTGTCACGTGACCCCCGACCGAGTAGTCCATTTTTCATATTCTTCAAAGCAAAACTCAACGCCCAATTTTTTTTCCCATATAATGCCGACTTTATGACAGACACTGTATATCCAGCCAACCTTGAAAAATCAAATGAAAAACTCTTGAGTAATTCGATGGGACCGACCTGATGCTGAACGCTGTGCACGTGACGGACGTGCGGCTCCTCCAGCAACAGGTTGGGGTCCCTCCAAACCCGGACGGGTTCGCTGCCGCTCGAAGCACCCCCTTGCTGCTCGTGCTGGAGGTGGTGTCTGCTGCTCAAAGCAGACGGGGATGCCGGAATGAATAAGGGGGACCTGAAAAAAAAATTACAACAATAATTGTAACGGCCATAAAAATACAGTTGAAAGAAGAATACCGGTAAAGACTGTGAACGTGTTTGATAAGAGCCACACCCAGCAAGAGAATTCGCGATGAAATCACGCCTCACAAATAAGATGAAAAAGAGCCACGCCCCCTCTGCAGGTGGAGTTTCGTTCCACGAAGAGGACATACCGGTAAAGACACAACCACTTGTGAGATTGTGAACGTGTTTGATGACAGCCACGCCCAGCAAGATAATGATAATTCGCGATAAAATCACGCCTGTCAAATAAGATGAAGAAGAGTCACGCCTCCTCTACAGGCGGAGTTTCGTTCGAGGAAGAGGACATACCGGTAAAGACACATCCACTTGTGAGATTGTGAACGTGTTTGATGACAGCCACGCCCAGCAAGATAATGATAATTCGCGATAAAATCACGCCTGTCAAATAAGATGAAGAAGAGTCACGCCTCCTCTACAGGCGGAGTTTCGTTCGAGGAAGAGGACATACCGGTAAAGACACAACCACTTGTGAGATTGTGAACGTGTTTGATGACAGCCACGCCCAGCAAGATAATGATAATTCGCGATAAAATCACGCCTATCAAATAAGATGAAGAAGAGTCACGCCTCCTCTACAGGCGGAGTTTCGTTCGAGGAAGAGGACATACCGGTAAAGACACATCCACTTGTGAGATTGTGAACGTGTTTGATAAGAGCCACACCCAGCAAGAGAATTCGCGATGAAATCACGCCTCTCAAATAAGATGAAAAAGAGCCACGCCCACTCTAGGGGCGGAGTTGCGTTCGGGGGACGCGTACACACGCACTTGTTGTGCGACTGCGCCAACAACGACGAAGTAGAACAGTTGGACGAGGAGAGGAAACTTCTAATCACAACTGAGTTTCATTGTAATATTCCTCAAGGTTGTAGTACGCTTTTGTTGCAAGGGCTTCTTTCACAAGATTTCTGAACTTTTTATTGCTTTTCTCCTTCCTGATCGTACGGTATATGCTTAAACAGCTTTTTACTTTCATAAATTAAACAATATTTTGTCTGGCTTGTTTCTGGAACAGGAAGATGTATTTTATTTTCTGTTGCTTGACGGGTCACGTGATTTGTATGTCTCGGAGTTTCAACCATATTATGTTTTTTGTAAATCAGGCTAGCAGTTTCCAGAATGAAAATACAAATGATAGTTACAATTTTTTCTCTAATAAATGAAGGTCTACATGAATCACGCACTCCCATCTTGCATAAGTATCTTATCGCTCTATTTCTTCCCAGGAAACTAAGAACTCACGGCGCAGGCAGGTCAATGCTGTCAATGAAGATCTTGCTGAAATCACAGCCTGGGGAACAAACAACCTAGTTGAATTCAACGCCACCAAAACTCAAGCCTGCATTTTCTCTAGAAAGGCGGAACTCAGTATGCCCGATATTGTGATGTCTGGCTCCACCATCCCCACCAAGCCCACCATATCTATGCTCGGTATTTCCATCAGCAACACTCTTTCATGGGATAATCATGTCAGATCCATCGCAAAAGCTGCTTCACAAAAACTCGGATTCTTGTTCCGTGCGAAAAGCTACTTTACACCTCAACAGCTTCTCATGATCTACAAAGCGCAGATACGGCCTGTTCTAGAATACTGTTCCCACATATGGGGTTCAGCACCAAAACATACGCTGATGCTCTTAGATTCCATCCAGAGAAGAGCCATTCGCCTGGTGGGTGACGCCACACTCACTCACTCTTTGACATCATTGGAACACCGTAGAAAGGTCGGCGACCTTTCACTTTTCTATCGATACTTCCACGGGAAATGTTCTTCGGAAATCTCTGCTATCATCCCTTCACTAGCAATACCAATCAGACGAACTAGACAAGCCCAGTCAGCACATCCTTTCGTTGTCAACCTCGAAAGATGTCGAACAGCACTTTATCAAGACCCCTTCATCCATAGAACGGCTAGGCTCTGGAATTCATTGCCTGTGGAAGTATTCCCAACAACATATAATCTCCAAAAGTTCGAAAAAAATTCCAATACCTACCTCCTGTCCCTATCCTCCCTAGGAACGCACGATGTTCTTTGAACATTATAGGGATTCCCTTTCGTGCGCTCCAAGCGATAAAAAAAAAATTTGCAAAACAAACACTGAATGAAAAGGTTGTTAGTTTCCGGTTCAGTTCATTATGCACGACTACCACGCCTGTCAAAGAAGATATAAAGATAAGCCACGCCCACTCTATGGGCGGAGTTTCATCGCGTTCGTGTACACCCACCTGTTGAGCGACTACCACGCCTGTCAAGGAAGATAAAAAGATAAGCCACGCCTACTCTATAGGCGGAGTTACGTCGCGTGCGTGTACACCCACCTGTTGAGCGACTATACCACGCCCATCAAAGAAGATAAACCACCACGCCCACTCTAGGGGCGGAGTTACGTTCGGGGAAGGCGTATACACCCACCTGTTGTGCGACTGCGCCGACAACGACGAAGTCGAACAGTTCGACGAGGAGGAGGAGGAGGACGACGAATGCGGCGGGGTGGCGACTACTTGGGGCGGTAACGACGGGCCGTCGTCTGGACAACTGAGGGCGCTCGATCGGCTGCCCGAACGCTCATCGCCGCTGCCCGATCTCAGCGAGCTCACGCCCGAATCGCTGCGCGAGTCCTCGGGCTGGAAGCGCTGGTGCAGGTGGTACAAAGAAGATGACGGGTCGTTGATTTGGTTGAGGAGGATGCCGCCCACGCCGCCGAGGTCCATCCTGCCGGTACTGGTGCTGCTGATGATGCTGCTGCTGTTGCTGCTGACGTAGGGCGATGATGCGGAGGGCAGCGGCGCGTCATCGTCACCTGCAACAACAGTAAAACATATTGAGTCAAATACAAATGGCTCGATCGGAAACTTAATGACATTGTGTACTAAAAACTCTTCCGTGTTGAACTGCCTCGTTTTCTATGAGGTGACAGCACAAACACCTGGTGATTATGCAACAGGTGGATGTGAAAGAACCTGTTGATTATACAACAAAGATCGGTTGCTAAGCAACTCCTGTTGACTATACAAGACACTCAAGTGTACCTGGTGAACAACTAAAAACGGCTGTCGGCCATATCTCAGCAATGAGAGCATCTGTATAAAAGGTGATAAGTAGAAGGAACAGTTGTTGCAGTTGCACAAGTGATAGTTGCATTGAATAGCATTGAAGTACCTTCCTAAAGACATACAAAAAATCTATTACATTTGACAGGTTTCTGGCAGCTATCCCCCACTTTTTAGTTTCAATTGGCACCCCCTGTATATTGTCATTGAAAATTACGTGTCATTCTATAAGGTATACAAGGATAGCACTCGGGATAGCATATACTTGATATTTTTTCATTATTATAACAACCAATAGCAACATTTATGTATGAATTTCAACGACATGAGGAGCATCGGCTTTTTGTAACAAAAAACATAAGCGAAGGCATTTTTTCATTTTCATATATGGATAATTAATAATATTTTTGCTGATGTCAATAAAAAAATACCGAGTATATGCTATCCTTGTATTCCAAATTGAATGACACGTAATTTCCAATGACAATATACAGGGGGTGCCATTTGAAAATAAAAAGTAGGGAGTAGCTGCCAGAGAACTGTCGAATGTAATAGATTTTTTATATGTCATTTGGAAGGCAATTCAATGCCATTCAATGCAGTCTTTGAATTTTTCAATTATCTTGCAAAATAAGCGAGATATTGCTTGTATACGATAACTTGGGACACCCGGTATATGTCCCAAAGGCGTGTAAAAAGTATGTCCGGAATAATAGCAGCAAATAAATCGCTGTTTTGAAATCTACCATTAAATTGGTATCGGATGGCACAAATCTGATCTCGTTATCAAACCGCGAAATTGAGTGCAAATTAACGCACAGGAAAGTGCAGTTTTCTAATCATTTTACTCAGGATAGTGATTGACACAGGTGCCGTTTGATAAATAACAATTTTTTTACACGCCTTTGGGACATTTCCTTATCAGATGACGGTCGAAACCTGCAGCTCCTGGACTATGATACCAGCACAATCACCAATGGACTGTTCAACATGTGAAAGCATAATCCCAAGATGCTGTTCAATAGATAAACATCTCATATGATACAATGATGAGAGATATAAAAGAAATTGGCAATGTGTTCCAGAGCCTCGCTGTTCGTTGGATGAACGAGTCTTTGGAAAGAGATGTTCTGCAGGTCTCCAAAGTGACCACGAAGGGGTGCGAAGCCTCAACTCGACGGGTTAATCTCGCAGGAACTGCCATGGGAGGAACAATTGTTGATATTTCAGTAGATATCTATAAAATAAAGCCAGATCGCCAACACGGTGTTCTAGAAAAGTGAGTGTTTGTGAGCGAGGCATCACCCACGAGACGAATTGCCCTTTTTCAAACAGAATCCAACAGTTTCAGGGTATGTTTGGGTGCTGCACTTCAAATATTGGAACAGTATTCCAGGACAGATCGGATCTGTGCCTTATAGATCATAAGCAGCTGACTGGAACTGAAATAGATCCTGGCCCGAAACAAAAAACTAAGTTTTTGGGATGCACTTTTAGCAATTGATCTCACGCGATTTTTCCAAGAAACGTTATTGCTGATATGGGACTAAAAGATGATAATGGTGAAAAATTAACCATTCTGATTATTCTGTATGTATGTTCAGTTGCAATCACCAAAGAAAAAAAACTTGTTTAGAGATACTCTCGGTGATACTCAAACAAAATGAATTCATGATGAGTCAGCATTCCTTAATTTTAGCAAGCACAACAATTGCAAGCTTATTATTCACTTTGACTACATCAACAACATTCCAATTTGCTGAATAAGCAACTCATATCCGTTATCGGATACTGCTAGGCATCCACATTTATTTTCATCAATAAGCAAATAGTGAGAACTCTCACGATATTATGATTATCCATACAATGTCATTTCCTGTACGGAAAATTAACAATTGAAATAATCCACCATGGGTAACATTATGAAGAATGTCTGCTTTATACAGTGTCTTTCAGAAAGTTGGCATCATACGGGAAAAAACTTTCAACAATATTTTTTTTCTGTGACCGGAAAAAAGTTTGATATTCCTTGTTGTCTTTGTTGACAGGTTATAAAATGTCACTCTTTATAAATTATATTTTTTCCACGGGAAAAGAGTGGGTACTTTTTTCCCGGATATATACAGGGTGTATCTAAATAACACCGAAAAAATTCGAGGGGTGGCTACTTGTGATATTTCAGGAAATAAAGTTAATATAAACATGGTGTCTTAACTTGCTTCGTTTTCGAGATACAGGGTATTAATATTACCATGAAAAATATTTTTTATCCATTACTCAATTGTCTTTTCATCAATTTCAATAAAACAATGTGGTTTTGTTCATAGTAATATGGAGCTTCTTCTAGTGCAATTAGATTCGAAATAATATTTCCAGTGGCGTCACAGTGGGTAAATTCATCGATATTCATGGTGAATGTTATTGTACACCACTGGTTTTTCTGAGTTTCATATTTTCATTGCATTGGACTATTGAAATAACAACTTTTTCATCCATTGTGTGACTTTTTTGTCTAGCTTAGTTTTTTAGGAAACAATAAAAATTCGATTTGACTCCAAATTTCAATGCAGGTGTTTTCAAGACTGCCATAGAATCATTCTGAAATTTTGGGGCTTTCTCAGTCTCCATCCATGCTTAATTTTGGCACCATGAAAGCTTATACAAGGGGGGTTATAAATAAAAACAATCAATACTTGAAACTTTAACATCCTGTATCTCAGAAACGGAGCAAGTTTGGATACATGTTTACATGAACTTTATTTGCTAGAATGTCACGAGGAAACACCCCTTGAATCTTTTCGGTGTTATGAAATTTCTGTAATATTAAAAAAATTCAACTTCGACAAAACGGCCCCAATAAAGTGGTTTGATTATATTTAGAAACTGAACAAACCGATTCAAATAAATTGCGCTCCTTGTGCTTGACAATATCAAAAACTAAAATTTGCAATAGAAAATTCAAATTTGAGACATTTGGAAAATCCGAGGAAAATCGGAATAGAAACAAGTTTTCATAGTAAACGTTTCTGAGATTCAAACAAATAAGCCGATTTTCAAGTCTGCGAGTCCAACAAAACTGTTTTTGGACGTGATGCGTACACTATTTTTTCGGCAACCATGTCTAATAACAAATCCAAAGCCAGAAAAATCTAGCCCTAATCAAGTTGAACATCGAAAAAAAAAGTTTTTTTCTCTAAATTCAAAAAGTCACATGTTGACTGGAGGAAATTGATTCAAAGAATGAAAAAACAAACAATTGACATGACATGCTGACATACTGACATATGAGGCACGAACATCATGGAATGACAGAAGGTGTCAATATCAGCAACCTAGGTTCAATTTCCACATTCATAATGTATTTCAGGTACTGGACAGTCTGATGATGGCTGTTGTACCGAAACCGGTCACTGTTTTTTAATCTTTTATATAAAGTGTGGTCGACTGACTTTGAAATTTATGTTTTCCTTTTTAAAAGTACACACAGAGTCGAAAAAAATATTGAAAAAGACAATACAATGAATATCTGACTTTCTGACTATCACATTGTATTTTTCAATAATAATTTGAGAAAGATGATGTTTGCCTACCTCTAATAGAGCACTCCTGCCGGCCGTCACCCTTATCCGACGCGGTCACCTCGTTGACTCTTATCTTAGCCACTATCACACAACTTTTAACCCCCTTTCCACCCTGTATACCCTTCACGCTCAACTTTGCGCACTGCACACCTCCCCGATCACAGAAAAGCACATCGCGAGCACTATCCGATCGCAAGAGCGCGTCCCATCGTCGATAGGATACGAATCCGGTGCGTCTGCTGGCCGATGTGTCACGCCTGCGCTGTAGGTACCGGCAGCGAGATTATTTCTTGTGGGAACGCGCACTTGGGTAGTGATGTCTTCTTTGGTGTCGATTGGGAGTTGTTTTCTGGTCGATCAGAATATGTCCTAGTTTGTTTTTCGGGTTTTGCTGACGAGTCTGTAACAAAAGAAAGAGAATTAAAATTTTTAATTTGTATTTTCAAATATTTTGATGAATTAAACAACTCCAAGGTTTTCAAAATTCTCAAGGAATTCCGTAAATTACAGATATTTCAGAAAATGACGATCCGATTTTAGAATATTTCACAGAATATCCAAGAATTATGAGCAATTTCTACATTATCAGAGGAGTCCAAGGAATTCTACACATTTTGAATAATTCTAGAGAATTTCAAAGAATTCCAATGAACGAAAGTTTCAAGATTTCTCAACTCATTCAAATCATTTTCAAGGAAGGAGATCTTCAAGGAATTCGAAAGATTTTCAGAGAATTATAATTCAAAAAATATCCAAGATATAATAATTTTCAAGGTAGATATTTAATAAATTAAAGAAAATTAGCCTCGAGAAAAAAGAAGTTATTGAAAAAATGTCCAAGGTATTCGAAAAAAAAAAGGATAAACACAAATTACCTTCAAGGAATTCATGGAATAGAAAGTAGAATTTTGAAACATTCGAATATATCGATAAAAAACCAAGGTATATACAAAATTTCCAAGGGTTTTCGAAAATATATCACCCATTAATTTCACAAAATCTTCTTGTTGTTGTGAATCGAAGAACCTTTGTTGGTTTCCAAAGATTTTAAAAGACTCCACAAGAATAACCATAGGATTTCGAGATATTTCTTGATATTAAAATAAGATTTGAGGAATTTCAAACAGTTGAAAAATCTCGAGGAATTCCAAGGATATCTTGGAATTATTGCCAAGTATTTGCGGACACGACTGGGGAAGTAGTTGTTTTTCTCCCGAAATCTACCATTGTTGGTCACTAGGTGGAAATGACTATTTCGTAGTTGAAATTACGCTAGTCGAGCAACCAGCCATTCCCGTATGAGGATTTTGGTTTTGGAGTGTTCCTTTCCTTCTATTCTAATCAGATGGCGTTGCTTTCATATTGTCTATGGAAGACCACTCTGGGGGAATATAATGCTGACTTGATTTTTGTTTGGCTAGGCTACGCTTAGTCGGCGGTCTTAGGACTGCTGGCTGGAGACTGCCCTGCCCTGATGAGAGTCAGAGAGCTCGAAACCGGTCTGTAGGTGTCTAGCGTGACATGGCTAGATCGAAATCAATAGGCATTCAGGAAAGAATCATTTGTATAAGTATTCGTTTATACGAATCGATGCTATTTCGTAGTATCTATAGAATAGTGAAATGTCGCCGACTTTTCCACGGTGTTCTTATGGTATTTTCCCTATCGAAAATATCTAGAGCCGCCTCTGGGCCATTCTTTTTCATTCTTTTCCATCTTCGACATTGCTGACTCGCTCGGTTACGCCACGTTTCGCTTTGCAAGCAATATATAAGCATTCCGGGAAGCATTCTCTCTCATGTCTTGGTGTCCGGATTCGCCAATAAACGCTTCTCGTATTTCAGGGGAAAAAAGAAGTTTCGTTTCGCCTTATCCATGTTCCTATACCGCGACGTCTTTTTTTCCAGATTTTTCGTCGGAGTCAGCAAAAGTAGAATTATAAAAATAATAATAATAATAATCTCTATTTAAATAGGAAATCCTAATTTAGAAATATAAATGATAGTAGTAATACATACAAAAAATAATAGATGATATAATTTGAAATGAAATGTTAATTGAACACAGTACAATAAATACACACAGTTCCAAAAAAGTGACACACTTGATATTTGACCTTGAACTTGAACGAAGATATTAAAGACTTGAGTATGCCTCGTTTCAGATCTGTAATAAAATCGTTTTTGCTGAAGAATGCTTTTCAAAATATTCAAGATATTATTGATTCCATTAGGAATTTGAAAATCTGATACTAGTTCTGTATAGTGTACTATTTTTTGTTATATACTTTTATCTTTTTACAATATTTTGTGCCGTGTTTTATACTATTGCAAAATGTTTTTTTTTGACGATGTAAGATTTCTTGTAAATTTTTAAACAGAATATATACTACTACTACTACTACTATCTTCTTCAATAGTGCGAAACTTCTTAGAAGCTTCTGGTATTACCACATTACAATGGCCTGCGAGAAGCCCCGATATGAATCCTATAGAACATTTGTGGGATGAATTAGGGAGGATGGTACGTTCTCGCGAGAGGTCTCCGGAAAGTCTCGCAGAAATGGCAGATGCATTAGTGGAAGAATGGGATCGTATACCAATGGAAACGATAAGCAACTCAATTTCCAGTATGCCTCGTAGATTAGAAGTTCTTAGAGTTGCTAGAGGAGGCAATACACGGTATTGAGCAGTCATCCCAATTTATAATTTTGTGTTTAGTAAAAATGTTTTTTAAAATTATTGATATCAGTTTATTTCATTAGAAAATTGTTTCTCGATGAATTCAGAAAGTTGGTAATCTGCAAGGATTCAGAAAAAAAAGCTGTAATTCGGAAAATTTTAGAGATAAATCAATGAATAAAGAAACAAAATGCTCGCAAAAGAAGGCTCTTTCGTATAGGGTGTAAGCACTTTCTATGCCATTACTCAATTAACACACAGGGTGAGTCAAAAATTAAGAATAAATCATGGTTCGAGTTATTCCACCACTACCAAGGAGGCTTCGAAAAAATTTTCACCTCTTCATTTGTTTTTTAAGAAGATAGGTCAAATATCAAGTGCGTCATTCTTTTTGGAACTGAGTGTATTTCATAGAATATAATGAATACCTATGCCTTCTTAGTAGGACCCAAATCTCCATTCAAAATACTCAATTATAATTCATATTGACTAAACCATAATGATACTTTGAAAACATGGATTGTAGTACTCGATCTGATTTCCATGGGTATATATAGTTTATTATAATCAACTAAACCTTGGTGAAATAATGAATGCATAGTCCCCTTCAATCTTGTACGATTGATATAAAAATCATATCTACCTCTTGTTTCATGATTGTGAATTTAATGATTGCAACTTATGAAATCTTTTAAGTACGTTGAAAAATCACAATGTACTACTTTGTAAATAAATATCATAGAAAAATATTTAATCCTATTCATCACCGTCATCCATTCAAGAACAGATAACATCAAATTAACCGGTGTTAATCTGTTACATTGAAGTATAATTCTCATTGTATGTTGTTTGTTCGGTATACAGTGACAGATGACTGAAAAGATAAATTGGTCCTAATTCTAGAAAAGGAGAAAAGCTTTTCTACGACTTTTTTGTAAATGTACTGAAATGAGACTCAAAGTCTATTGTCTACAATAACCCCAAGATATTTAATTATCATTTCTCGTATCAATAAACTTAGGTAATAATGACTATACTATTAACTCATTTGGACATAACGAAATATCCTACTCAATTAAAAGGCAATTAAGGAGAAATGCTCATACATAAATGTAAACGACACGTTAATCTGGGATTTAGATCCAATTGATTAAAATCCTATGTTAATGGATTCGTGTTAGCGCTCATTTTATCAACATCAAAATATTTCTCAGATAAATTCCTATCGATGTTGTTGTAATCTCAAGTGTCGTTGGAAAATTATGTGTAAAAGGCCTTGGGGTATTACCTAGGATAATTGTTTTCATCATAAGCTTGTAACGCCTAGTTAATCGAATCATACCATACTTGTTAACATAATAAAATATACAGAGTAGCTTTGATAGGAGTGGCAGGAAGAGATGTTCAACAGCGACCAGCACTGCGTTTTGCGTCTGGTTTTTGTTTATCAATCGTTGCTCAGAACCGAGCTCAGAACTAACTACGATTCGAAATTGTGACTGTCTTTTGTTATTATCGTTTCTGTTAATAGGGAAAGGATCAATCAGCAGACATAGGCTGTTTTATAGGCATTTGTTCGGACAAAAGGCGAAAAATAATTTGTAATTTCAAGGATATTCTGTCAATTTATTGACGGATTAATATTGCAATCAATTCATAGTTTAATCATGCAATTGATTGGCAGATTAATCTTGCAAGTAATTGAATAATCAATATTGCGATTATTCTGAACGATTTTTTTTTGTGAAACTAGCTTTGACAAATCATTCTCGCATATAATTGACAGATCAATCTTGCAATTGATTGATAGATTGATCATGCAATTAATTGATTGACAGATTGATCTTGCAATCAATTTGAAAATTAATCTTGAAATCAATGGACATATTAATCATGCAATTGATTGACAGATTAATCTTGCAAGTAAATCTTGCGATTATGCTGAACGAAAAAAAAACTTTAGTTCGCAACTAGCTTCGACAGATCAATCTTACGATTAGTTGACAGATTTGATCTTGCTCAATTGACAGATTTCATCTAGCAATCAATTAGCAGACTAATCTTGCAATCAATTGATAGTTTACTCATTCAATTCATAAGCAGATTAATCTTGCAAGTAATTGAATAATCAATATTTGCGATTACTCTGAACGGATTTTTTTTCCGAAACTAGCTTTGACAGATCATTCTCGCAATTAATTGACAGATCAATCTTGCAATTGATTGAAAGATTAATCCTGCAAATAATTGGGATATTAATCATGCAATTAATTGATTGATCTTGCAAGTAATTGGCAAATTAATATTGAAATCAATAGACATATCAAGCATACAATTGTTTGGACAGATTAATCTTGCGAGTGATTGAAAAATCAATCTTGCGATTATGTTAAACGAAAAAGAATTTGTTAGCAACTAGCTTCGACTTGCAATTAGTTGAAAGATTTGAACTCGCTCAATTGACAGATTTCATCTTGCAATTAATTGGCAGACAATCTCGCTATCAATTGAAAATAACATTTATAATTTCACGATTATTCTTTCAATTGAGCTAACTGTAAAATTCATATCGCAATGAAGTCTTAATTTACAGATTGATCTCGCAATCATTGGGATTATTCTTACAATCAATTGACAGATGGATCTTGTACTTAATATTATAACTGCAAGATTGATCTGTCAATTGAACCTTACTTGCAAAATAAATATCGAGAAATTA